TCTGGGCACGTGTGCGGGTGCCAGCGCGCTGCGGGGGCGGCTCGCTTCTGGAGTGCGGCCGGATGCCGCCTGGGCCCCTACCCAGGTGGGTGGCAGGTTTGGTGTGCTGCCTGTCGTGTCCTGTCCTTCCTCTGAGTGCTGGGTCACCATCCCCACCTTGTCCCGTCGGGTCTTCTCCGGGAGCTTGTGGGCGCGTGGGAGTTTCTCTGGCATCTTTCCCCCCCCCCGGATGCAGTAGGGAGCAGGTCCCGCGTCAGCGAGGCCAGCGTCCCGGTGCTGGGAGGAGAGGTCCTCCTGTGCTTCAGGTCAGCAGCTGCTGTGGCCCCGGGGCTGCAGGTGTCCCTGCTGCTGGGCCTTCAGGTGGACGGTGGGCACTCCTGTCTGTGTCGGCCTGGTGTTTCATGGCCCGGACCCCTCTGTCCCCCGTAGGTTATAGTCATACTTTCTGTCTGTGGTTTCCTGCTTGTCCTTAATCCTGGTGCCCTGCCTGCCTTTCTGGCACGCAGGGCAGTGACTGGCCGCTCTAACCTTCTGGCCTGCAGTCTTCAGATGACTCCGATTTCCTGCGCAGGCGATTGTGACGTCTGTGGGCATGGACTGTTTCTTCCTTCCCAACTGTCCGCCTCTGATTTCCTTTTCTTATCTTGCGTTGGCTGGGACTCCAGTACGGTGCTGGGAAGCAGTGGGGAGGGGACATCTTTTTCTTGTTCTGATCTTAGAGGAAGAGTGCCCGCTTTCTTACCATTAAGCCGATATGAGCTGTAGGTTTTTGTAGGTGTTCTTTGTCCCACGCAGGACATTCTCCTCTATTCCCGGTTTGCTCAGAGTTTGAATCATGAATGCCTGTCAGGTTTTATGTCACGCTTTTTCTGTGCCTGTTGATGGGATCGTGTGATTTTTCTTCTGCCTGTTGGGATGCTCATGTTAACTGATTTTCAGATGTTGAACCACCTGTGCACCTGGGATGGGTCCCACCTGGTCACGGTCTGGGATTCTTCTTACGTGTTTTTGGGTCTCATTCGGGGATCTTCTGTGGGGCATGTTTGCACGAGACGCCCTGGTCTGTAGGATCCTTTTCTTTTTTTTTTTTTAAAGATTTTATTTATTTATTTGACAGAGAGAGATCAAAAGTAGACAGAGAGGCAGGCAGAGAGAGAGAGGGAAGCAGGCTCCCCGCTGAGCAGAGAGCCCGATACGGGACTCGATCCCAGGACCCCGAGATCATGACCCGAGCCGAAGGCAGCGGCGTAACCCACTGAGCCACCCAGGCACCCTGTAGGATCCTTTTCTTGCAGCGTCTTACAGTGTGTGTGGCGGTAGCCTTCCACCTGTCCCCCTGGGGGCCGCCTGTCACAGGCATCTCGTCCCTGTCTTACACCTTTGTTGCTCGTGCTCAGTCTGTTTGTGGCGCATGTGTGGCCAGCGGCACCAGACCCCTGTCCTGAGCAGCACGGATGCCCTTGGGCGCTGCCTGGCCTTCCCCCGTTCTCCGGGACACCATCCAGGATTTCACTTCTGTCCTTTTGAAAGCCTGTGCCTTGAATGTGAGTATTTTTTTTTCTGAAATGGTTGTTTGCCTTTCTCATATCTTTCTCCGTTTTTCATTTCCGTGGTCTGTCCTGTCGTTCCAGCTGTCCCCTGAAGGTGGTACTTGGAAGCGTCGGGGGTTCTGGGGGGCCTCCGTCCTCCTGTCGGTGCAGGGCATCTGGCGGCAGCCTCTGGGGTGGCTGCTGGGCGTGGGCTGCCGGTGCTCTGTCCCTGGCTGCCCTCGGGAGCTAGTCTGTCTTCGGCACCTTTCCTTCGGGTGTGCCTGGGGTCAGGACCTGTGCCTGGGGTCAGGACCTGTGCCTGGGGTCAGGACCCGCCCTTTGGGGCATGAACTCTCTTACCTCAGCCTGTTGACTTCTTCATGTCACTCATGTTCAAGGCTCCTCCTTCCTTCTTCTCTTTGGATGGGGTGCGCAGGTCTGGGCATCGGAAGTGAAGAGCAGTGTTGAGGTCTGGGGGGGCCCGGGAGCGCAGGCGGGCGCTGAGAGGCTGTGTGCGTCCCTGGGGCTCATGGGGCTGCCACCCCCAGGCACCGCAGATGGGCTCGCAGGGCTTGGTGGCAGCCCCCCTCCAGCTGCTGGAGCTGCCCGCGTCCCTGCCTGTGTGTCCTCCTCTTCATGGACATCCGCTGCTGGTCTCAGCACCCACTTAAGTCCCCAGTGAGCTCAGGTCGAGGTCCTCGAGCCCCTGGAGCCACGTGGACCTTCCTCTGTCAGGCGCCACGGACAGACACAGAGTCCGGGCCTGTCCCCATGCATGGCGGGCAGGAGCGCCGCTCGCTGCCACTGTCCGCTAGGTGGGTTTGCCATTAAAAGTAGGTCACCACGGGATCTCCTGTGCATCAGAAGGCACTGAGACTCGAGGGGGCGGGTACTGTGCGGGAGGCAGCTGTGTCCCTGTTGCGCTGTGCCAAGGCCTGGGCGCCCCTGTTCCTGGAGGCTACGGTGAGGGCGTGGACAGATCTCCGTGCCTCGGCTCTTCCTGCTCGGCGGGCCTCCGCCGCTCCGCCCTGTTGAAGCCCTGGACGGTCACGGAGCCTGTGAAGCTGTGGGGGCAAGCTCTGGGCCCCACTCCCCATGCCAGGTCTTCCCACGGAGGGAGAGTGGGGGCTGCGCCAGAGTCTGTGGGGACGCTTGAGTCATATCTGGAAGCCGGGTTTTCCTCCAGGGCCCTGCCCTCTGTGTGCGGCGCGCGTGCAAGAGGTGGAAAGGAACGGGGTGTGCTTGGTTCCTGTAGGGGCAGGGCGAGTCCACCCACCCGGCGCTTTCCACCCCTCCCGGAGCAAACGGCAGCAGTGAGCCGAGGCTGGGGCTGCACAGGGCCGGGGGCTGGGTGTCTGCGCCTGTGTGTGTCCGGGTGGGGGAGGAGTCCGTGTCTTAGGGGGTCTGGGTTTGTATACGCAGGGGGTCGGCCCCTGTACTTGGGAGGGTCTGGGTCTGGCGGTCTCTGCACTGTCTGCCTCCCTGAGGAGGCCTGAGGGCTGAGCTCTCTGTCGAGCGCCAAGGCCCTTGGCCTCACTCACCAGTGTCCTAAGCCAACCTTCCCAGGCAGCACATCTCAGAACTTCTCAGGTGCTTGCGGTTGTCCTGGGTCCTCATGGGGATGCCTCTCTCAGCACAGGAAGTGCTGGAGAACCTCAAGGACCGCTGGTATCAGGCGGACAGCCCCCCCTCAGACCTGCTTCTGACCGAGGACGAGTTCCTGTCATTCCTGCACCCTGAGCACAGCCGTGGCATGCTCAAGTTCATGGTCAAGGAGATTGTCCGGGACCTGGGTGAGGCCTGGCCTGTGACCCTGCCCCGGGGGGGGGGGGGGGAGTGGGGGGCTCCCTGCTGGTGGCTGGGCTGGAGGGCGGAGCCCACTGTGCCCCTGCAGCAGTGCTCCTGGCAGGGGTCAGCCTGGGGGTCTTGGAGGCTGTGGGGCCACACAGTGGTGGGGGGCAGTCAGGCCTTGTCCTGGGCCATCTGGCCTCGGCCAGGCTCTCGAGCAGGTCAGGTGAGACGCACCTAAAACAGCTTTAGGCTAAAATTTAACACACTGAAAATTTGGCAGGTAACCTCTTTTGGTTGACTTTCTTCTGGGTGGGCCCGGTGGCCCCACATCCAGGTGAAGCCTGAGTGTTCACCCCCTGTGCTGCAGACCAGGACGGCGACAAGCGGCTCTCCCTGCCTGAGTTCATCTCTCTGCCCGTCGGCACAGTGGAGAACCAGCAGGGCCAGGACATCGATGACAGTTGGGTCAGAGACCGAAAAAAAGAGTTTGAGGAACTGATCGACGCCAACCATGATGGGATCGTGACCATGGCTGAGCTGGAGGTGAGTGCAGGTGCCTGGGGAGGCACCGCCCTCCCCCCACCCTGAGTTCGGGGCCCAGATCCCCAGGCTTCCAGGTGTGCCTTAGGCAAGGGGCTGCGGTGGAAAGGACGCCAGTGTTGGCCCGGCTGCTCCTTGTAACACTTTGTGGCACCTGGAGGTGGGCTCCCCACGCGCAGGGGAGGGGGAGTCCCCGGGCAGCGTGGTCACCTGTGGTGCTTGGGCCAGTGAGGTGCTGGCCTGCCCCCAGCCAGGGATGCCTCGGCCTCTTCTGGCTCCAAGCAGCCGCTCCCCAGTGGGCAGCTGGTGAGATGCTGGGGCGCTGGGGGTGCAGGCCGCTCTGGAATCCATCTTCCCCCGAAGTGTTTCTGCCGGTGCCGTGTGGGTGCTGTGTGGGCTTGTTTTCCCCGTTGCTGCATGACTCACTGCCTTTGCGCCAGAATTTTCTGATCCCTTTTGATAGCCGGCGCACACACCTGCTTCGAGCATTGAGCGGCGGCTCGTTGAGTCCGTGTCCATGCCTGTATCTGGGCATCGCGTGACCCACGGGCAGGCTCCCGCAGCCACTCAAGGCTGTTTGCCCTCCGGCCGGTCCCCTCCGGGAAGGAAGCATCAGGAGTGCCCTGCGGAGGACGGGAGGCGGCGAGTCTCAGGCGCCACATAGGCAAAGGCTGTCTGGCCCTGAGCCACTTCCAGCCTGGTGTCTGCCTTCCAGAACATTCCAGAACGTGCCACATTCCCTCCTTGCTGCTTCTGTACTCTTAGCCCATGGGCTGTTTTAAATAAGGCATTGCTTTCTGAGGCTGGTGGCAGGGTCAGAGCCATGCAGATACTTCCCTGAGGCCAGAGGCGCTGACCTCGCTGACAGGGCATCCGTGGGGGGCAGGGGCGTCTGCCTGGCGGTGTGGGGGGTGTCTCACGGCCTCGTCACCAAGTGTGGACTTCCGGCGCCATGGTGGAGCTGAGACTCCAGGTCGATGGCCCTAGTGCTGCTGGGGAGCGGGCGCGCTGGGGAGGGCCGTGATGGCCAGGGGTTCGCGCTGACCCCGTGCCCGGAACCACCACAGGACTACATGGACCCCATGAACGAGTACAACGCCCTTAACGAGGCCAAGCAGATGATCGCCATCGCGGATGAGAACCAGAACCAGCATCTGGAGCCCGAGGAGGTCCTCAAATACAGCGAGTTTTTCACGGGCAGCAAGCTGATGGACTACGCCCGCAACGTGCACGAGGAGTTCTGAGCCCACGCAGCCCCCCGCCACCCCCCGGGCTGGCCGCCGCCGCCGGTCCGGCCCTGCCCCAGGTGCGTTTGAGCGGCCAGCCTGGGCCGGTGCAGCTGTGGGCCGGTGCCCCCCGCGCGGGCGTCTCATTTCCCGGCACTGGGCGCGTCGGGGCCCTGCGGGCTCACCACGCTGCGGGGAGCAGCGCGGCCCCTGCCCCTTCCTTGCTGGCGTTGCGTTGGCCTGTGCTCTGCGGGGGGCCCGAGCCGGCGGCCGGGGGTTCCTGCCACGTCGTTCCGTCTCCGAAAACACAAACACTTGTGACGAGAATCTCACTAATGTACGTTAAGATAGAGTTGCCTTTTCCTCCTAGCTTCATTTCCTTGTTGAAAAAACTCATAAAATGATTTTGGAACGTTTGTGGCCAGGTGGCTTCCACTCAGCGCTTTTGAGGTGGGGGATCTGTGCGAACAGAGGGTTTGGTCAGGCTCCTGCCAGGCCCCTGGGTGGGGCTGCACGGGAGGGACGCGCTTAGCGGCAGGGAGGCCCTCGGGGGCGCGGGAGCCAAGGGTCTGGAGCGTGGCGCTGAGGGGAGACCCCTGGGAGGTGCTGGCTGGAGAGGGAAGATCTGAGGACCAGCCCTTACGGCAGGGGCTGGGGGGAGAGTCCCCTCCGCACTCCAGCCGGGCTGGCTGTGGGGGAACAGAGCAGAGGCGGCCAGGGGACCTGGAGTCTCACCGAGCCTGTGGTCAGGGGCTGGGAGGGCCTGAGAGCCTGGGGACAGGACGGGGCTCTTGGGGGAGGTCCCACCAGACCTGTATTTGTCCCAGGCCCTTTCTGGAGGTCAGCCGTGCCCAGTGCTTGTCCAGCACGTGGGGACAGAGGACACTGAGCTGTGAGGGGTTTAACAGACCGAGGGTCCCTGACCTCACGTGCCTCTGAGCTGCCGCCTCCAGTCCCTGCCTCTGCCCCCTCCGTGCTGGGCATCCCCTCAGGAGCCCTGAGCTGTGGGCTGTGGCGCCTCAGTGGGTCCGCTCAGGCCTTGGAGGGCCCTGCTCAGGTGGGGGCTCCAGCCCGGTGGGCAGAGGAGCCACCCTGAGCTGCCCTCATGACCCGCCCTTGCCACAGGGATCTGCTTCCGAGCAGCGTGGGGTGGGGCCGCTGTAGCGGAAGGAGGGCGCGGCAACACCTGCACCGGGTTCCCCGCAGACGGGAAAGACTTCAGAAGGGCTGGGAGTGTGTGGTGGGAGGGGGTCCCCACCGTGGCCGGGCCGCCGTGGGTGAGTTGGCAGGGGCGTGGGCGACGTGGTTGTCTGTGCTTGGCGGGTCAGCGTGAACAGGGGCCTGGTTCGTGGGCCGGGTGGGCAGGGCCCCGGGCAGCGGGGACCCGTACTGCCAGAGGGCAGGCAGCGCCCACGTGGCCCCCAGAGAAGGAGAGGGGCACACTGGTGGGGGCGCTGCCCACCGGACGCCCAAGTGAGCTCAACCTCAGGAGCTACAGTGCGTCAATTAGAAGAAAAAAAGACTTTGTCCCCATCTATGGAAGACGGGGGTGCGCACACGCACGCACACCAGGCTGCCTGACGCCCCGATCCCCTCCCCTGGTGGCCCCCTGGCTGCTGGCAGAGCCTTCCTCTCCCTCCGCCCCCGCTGTTGTGGGCGGTGGCCTTGTCCGTGGCAGCCTTGCCCTGCTCGGCTGGGGAGGAATTTCCCACAGGTGGGCCGGGGCGCTCAGCTTCCTCACCTGTCGGGGAGTCAGGGAGGGGAATTTCCAACTTCTCCCCTGCTCTCCTCCCCGAGAGGGGCCCTCTGTCCGAAGCTTTGTGAATTAATTGGTGTATGGTTGATTTCATCTCAAGGTTATGGTTTGAAGGGTACAAAAAAACGACCCAGGGTAGCCTCCCCTGCCTCCAGGACACCGAGTGATGTCTGAGCCATGCGCGAGTGTTCTTTCCGCTCTCCACACCACGGCCCTGCACACGGCCCTCCCCACCCGCCCTGGAACCACCTGGGGCTGTGTCCGAGGGTGCCACGTGCTCCGGGGGCTGTCCGGTGGGTCATCCTGGTCTCCACTGTCACATTGGTGCTGTGGGGACACCCTAGGCCCAGCGTGGGTGTGGGATGGGCTGGGTTGGCCTGGCCACCAGGGAGGACACAGAGCCAGACTGGGCAGAGGGCACCCCCCACAGGAGCAGCCGCACACATGCCACACGCACACGTGCGCACAGGTTCACACGTGCTCCTGGCATACTTCGTACCCAGGGTGCAGAGCAGGTGCTGTCCTAACAGAACACTGGGGACGACTGTCTCCCTGTCCTGGGCCGGACTTCTGAGAGCAAGTGTGGGCAGGGCTGCACTCGTCCGTTGTCCTCACGCAGTCTCCTTCTCCCAGAAGGAAGCCAGCCCTTTGGGAGCAGGACTCCCCCGACCCCCGCCACCCTATCTAAACTTGACCAGCAGCGCAGAGGCCCCACCTCCAAACAGCCACACGGGAGGTCAGGGTTTCAGCGCGTGAATCTGGGGACACCTGCTGCGCTCAGACACGCTGAGCGGCACAGCCCTGCCTCGCACTCGTGTGCTTGGCACGCCCGCCTATACCCCTGCCATGCTCCACACACTCGCACGCTCGCCCCTCTGAGCTCTTGACCACTGCCTCCGTCTGAGCTGGTTTTGGACACCTGGACCAGGGACTGTGCTCTGGAGTTCGGGGCTGCTCTCCCCTTGAGCCGGTGCCCTGTGGAGGGTCCAGATGGTGTGAGGCCTGTCTCCTGACACAGGGTGCTGCCTCAGTTTACCCATGTGCTCTGTGCACCCCTTTGCTGAGGGCGTGAGGATTGCCATGAGTGTAGCCTTTTGTCGGGGGGGCGGTGGCGGGAGCAGACACCTGCTCCTGAGGGGTCCAACCTGCCCTCCACAGGGAGAGCGGGCGCCCAGAGGGAGCGAGCTTGTGGAGGGGGCGGCTGGCCAGAGCAGGAGGCTACCCATGTGCCCAGCCGAAGGGGCGCCGTGTCCCTGGTGAGGTGGGGCGAGGGGGCGTCCGGTGTGGACGGTGGATGCGGACTAGATGTGCTGGCCCCGCCGAGGGTCCAGCGGCTGCAGGTCCTCACTGTGGCCCCAGGTCTGTGAGCCGGGTCGGCGCCCCGCTGCCCGCTGGCTGAGGCTGAGGTTGGTGGGCGTGTTTGAGGCGAGGAGGGCCCAGGGCAGGAGAGAAGCCCTCAGCCTGGAGGGTTGCTGCTCAGACTAGCTGCCTTCTTGCCACCAGCCCAGGTCAGGGGTCCCCAGCCCTTCCTGGGCCTCCTTCCTCCAGGTCCCCTCCTCCTCTCTCCCTCCCCACCCCTCCCCCGCAGCCCTTATAGCCACATCCTGCAAGGAAAAACCCCAGACTCCTGCACCGCCGGCGATGAATCCTCATCTCCTCCTCGTGCAGGCTCGGCGGCCTCGCAGGCCCCCCTCAGCCCTCCTGCTCTTCGGGCTTGTGCTGGGAGCTGCCGCCCGGCTCACCTGCGTGGGGGACGCCTACCCCAGAGACGGCAGGTGCTGTCAGGACTGCCCGCCCGGTGAGTGGCCTGGCCACCGAGCTGGGGAGGGGGCCTGTGGGGCCCCGGGACAGGAGGGTGGGGTCCTAGGGATGGGACACACACCGGGATGGGGGCTGGGGAGAGGGGAACAAGCAGATGGGGTCCCGGGACACAGGGGTCACGGGCTAGCGGACTCAGGCTGACAGAGTGGGTGACCAGCAACCAGGCCCCGGGCCATGGGCCTCCGGGACGAGGCTGGGGATGCGGAGCCATGCTGAGTCTGGCCTGCCTCCCGCTGCAGGCTATGGGATGGAGAGGCGCTGCAGCGGAGGCCAGGACACCGAGTGCCACCCTTGTCTGTCCGGCTTCTACAATGAGGCTACGAACTATGAGCCCTGCAAACCCTGTACCCAGTGCAATCAGAGTGAGCGTCACCCTGACCGGATCCCAGACCCCCGAGCGAGTCCCTTGCGTCCCGCCCGGGCGCTCCCAGGAGGTCCCCATAGCCGCAGAGACAAACCCCAAACCACAGTGGGGCCTGCTGTACCACGGGGGGGCCCCTAGGAGCCCCTCCCTCCTCCCGGGGAAGTGGGGGGCTGAGGCCACGAGGAATCAGGCAGGAGCACGTGCCTGCCGGCCGGCCTTTACACCAACGAGTGGGATCCGAGCGCCACCGAGGGTCCTGCTGTGGGCCTGACGGAGGGTGGGAAGGGAGGCCGGAGCCACCCTGGGCGTGCCTCCCAAGGGCCACGTGGCCGGAAGGAATGTGGCATCCAGGGACTGGAGAGAGCCCGGAGCCCCGCGCGGCTGCGAGGGGGCTGCTGGTCCGGGAGCCCTCGGCCTCCGTCCTCCAGCCTGTGCAGCAGCCCGCGGCTCTGCCAACCCTGCCCGCCTCCCCTGCCCCCCGCAGGAAGTGGGAGCGAACCCAAGCAGAGATGCACACCTACGCAGGACACCGTCTGCGGCTGTAAGCCAGGCACCGAGCCCCAGGACGGCTTCAAGCGTGGTGTCGGTGAGCCCGGGGGTGGCGGCGGGCAGCGTGTGCTCGAGAGGGCAGGGTCTGCGCGCCTGCAGGGTCCTTGGGGCTGGCAAGGAAGCGTGTCTGCCACATCACCTGCTGTCATTTCCCACTGTACCCCCCACCCCCACAGGTCAGAATGAGTTCCTTTCCCCCAACAAACAGGCCAGGCCAAGAAAGGCGGGGGGCCCGGGTCAGGGCCAATGGGTGGAATGTGGGCCGGGAGGCGGTTCTGGAGGCTGTGGTGGGGGAGCGGTGAGGAGACCGTCCTGCTGTCTTTGTTGCAGACTGTGCCCCGTGCCCACCGGGACACTTCTCCCCAGGGGACGACCAGGCCTGCAAGCCCTGGACCAAGTGAGTGGCCTGGGAGGCTCCTGGCCCCTGTCCCCTCATGACCCCTGGCCCCACCATGCTGCCCGCTGCCTCAGTCCTGGTCCAGCCTGGCTTCTGGGTTGGGGTGAGGAGTGTATGACTCTGTCCCAGGCCCTGGGAGACCATGAGAGCCCGCCTCATCCACAGCTGGGGCCTCCACGGTAGGGGTGGGAGGAGAGCAGTGTGGGCAGCAGAGCGAGGGGAAGTGGGGAATGAGGGTGTGGGGCAGGGGTCCCTGGGGGTTGTGGGGCTTGGGCAGGGTCCTTGGCCCGTCCCCTGGCTAGGATTGGGACGCTGCCAGACAGGACCTGGGGGGATCTGATGCCCATTGCTCCCCACACGTCCCTGGTCCTGCCTCAGTTCTGGGTCCTTCTGGGAGGAGTTGGCTGGGGGTCGGAGGCTCCGGCCTGAACAGTACCCCCTGCCTTTGTCAGCTGTACCCTGAAAGGAAAGCGTACGGTGCGGCCAGCCAGTCAAAGCTCAGATGCTGTCTGTGAGGACAGGAGCCCCCCCGGCCACGCTGCCATGGGAGACCCAGGGCCCCCCAGCCCGGCCCCCCACCACCCAGCCCACCACAGCCTGGGCCAGGGCCTCCCAGGAGCCCTTCACGCCCCCTACAGAGCCCCCCAGGGGTAAGGGGAGGGCCTGGCCTCCCCCCAGCAGGGCAAGGAGAAGGGGGGTAGGGAGAGAGGGCGGGGGTGGGGGTGCCCTCTGCCCTCCTGGAGGCCCTCTGGGGCTGGACCCCTTGTTCCAGTGGACCCCACCCCAGCAGGCCTTGCCTCCCCACAGGCCCCCAGCTGGCCGCTGTCCTGGGCCTGGGCCTGGGCCTCCTTGCTCCCGTGGCAGCTGCGCTGGCGCTACTTCTGCACCACAGAGCCTGGCGGCTGCCCCCCAGTGAGTACCCCGTGTGACCCCGGCCCCGATGGCCTCCCACGCATGGGGGGGGCATGACCCTCCTCCACCTCCTGCCTCTGCTCCTTCCCCTCCCCAGGTGGAAATAGCTTCCGGACCCCTATCCAGGAGGAGCACTCCGACGCCAACTCCGCCCTGGCCAAGATCTGAGCCAAGACTGGAGCAGCTAGTGCTCCCACCCCCGGCTGGGGCCCCTGAGGGCCTGCTAGACATGGAGGGGCTTTGGGGTGCCCCCACGCGCAGGCCACCGTGTCCCATAATCCCCCCACCCCGCGCCGTTTTAGGTGCTCCTGGCCTGCGCCCAGGGCTCTGCTACGTATGCTGTGCATACTCTCCGCCCAGGGTGGTCCCCCCAATAAATGACATTGGCGAACCTGGGTCTCCGACTGGCTGCCAGCGGGCTGAGTGCCACACAGCCACGGTGGGAGTGCAGGGGCCAGACCCACTCTGGCAGGGGAGGCCTCCCCAGCCTCGGCAGGGGTATGGGACCCCCTCAGAGACCCCGGCACCCCTGTCCTCACCCCTTCTCTGAGCACGTCCCGGCTCCAGAGGGGGGGGGGCGTGCAGGCCACATACATGTCCTGGGGGACCAAATGACCCCGCGGCTTGTCGGCGGCATCCAGGAGCCGCTTCTCCGAGCCCCGCACCTGGGTGAACAGGCCCTAGGCTCCCCCAGTGAGCCCACAGCTCCAGCATTAATGGGAGCAGGTAGGAGACCGGAGGCCCTGGCCCCAAAGGGATTGTTTGAGGACAACCCTTCAGGTCTCTGTGTGTCCTTGCAGAGCAGAGAGCTCAAGAGCCATTCTTTCTCGAGACCTCTCGAATCCCATGCCTGCCAGACCTGCGTGTGTGTCGTGGGTAGCGAGTGGGGAAGCTCTGGGAAAGTGGAGATTTCCAATCAAGCTGAGCCGCAGTTGGCCCTGGGGGTGAATGCTGAAAAACCCCGAAGCCCGTGGACAGTAGAGTCCCACGGACAATGACCTGTCCGTGACCATGGTGCCCCTCCTGCTGGGTTGCCAGGCCGGACGGTGAGCGTCCTTCGCAGCTGCTGGCTGACCTGAAGCCAAAGGCACTGCGGCCAGCGCAAGACTCTGGCCCTGATGTCGGCCGAGCCCTGGCCAACAGCCCTCCTTGTTTCCTGGGCCATCTTTCTCCCCAGGGTCACCCCAGAGGCCCGTCCAATGTGTCTTCAAACCTCTGAGCCCTCTGCCCTGGGGCCTGGACGCTGCCAGGGGAGGACAGGGAGCCGTCCCATGTTCAGCCCCACTGAGTTCCCCGTGTTCTGGGTGGGACTCAGCAGTGGACAAAACAACGTGAGCCGCGCCCTCAACGCAGGCGGCAAACCTGCACCCTTGATCTGGGGACAGTGGTCACCAGGATAGTGTGGAGGCTGCGGAGAAGTGCTAGGGGACCTGGTAGAGGGGGCAGGGTCGGGGCAGGGGAGGGGGCAGATCCTGCACCCGAGGCCGCCTCCCCACACCTCCCAGCTCTTCCCTCAGCCAGGACACCCTCCCCTCACCTGGCCGCTGCACACCTGCCGTGGGCTGAGAGATGGCCAGACTCATCGTCTCTTTGCTTCTACACCAGCCCTAAGCACACTCTCCAGCCCCTCACCCCCTGTCTGCTGAAAACCCTCATACTGTCTCCGCCCCAGGCCCTGTGTGACCCCAGGCCTGGGCCTCGAGCTATGGCCCTGCCCAGTGTCTGCTGTCCCCCTCCACGCCCCCGCCCCGTCCCCACCTGGCCCTGCTGTCGGATCCCCTTCTCCACGTACCACCCGCCTCTGGTTACTGCCTGGCCTCCGTGAGGGGCCGTCTGCTAACAGGAACAGGGTGACTCGTGTGAGCGGGAAGAACTGATAATGCAGAAATGTGGTGAGCGGCCTAGGGCCCTGGAAAACACAGCAGATAAAGATCGCCGCTCCCCTGGCTGCCCAGCTCTAGAGGCTCTCCTCGTCCGCGTAGCCTGTGGCTGGGTTGGGGGGGTGCTTCCGGAGGGGCTGGGACAAGAAAGCAGACGCAGGCACTGACACTGGGCTGACGTCACTCCTGCCTTTCGAGGGCCCTTGCTCAGAAGCCGCTATCTCTGTGGGCATTGAACGTGGGCTGTTTGCTTTCTGTGCAGCTGTGGGCGGCAGCCACGGAGGAATATTCCTCTCCCGCCCGCCCACGGGCCCTTCCCGTGGACTTTTTCTGCACGGAGCTCCTCCCGCCCAGCTCACCTTCACTCCTCCCCACTGTTTCCAGAAGCTTCTAACTCTGTCCCTGCTTCCAGAAGGACCAGCTGACACACAGCACAGCCTGACAAGCATCATTTGTAGGGTATCGATCATGTTTTCCTGGGCCACAGTATATCACGAACTTATCAGAATTGGGGTGACCCTGTACTGCCCCAGACCTGACCCCTCAGGTCTTTGAAGTGAGCAGCGGATGAAGGTCTAGAACTGCGGGTTCTGTGCGTGGATTCCCGCTCTGTCTCCGCGCTCAGACCCATCTCCTGGAGTGGGAGACCTCTGGGTTCCTTGGAGCCTCGGGCAGCTGGAGCTACAGCCCACCGGAGAGCCCCCTCCCTTCCCTGCACCACCAGGTTTGCCTCTCTGCGGAGGGGCCGTGCATCCTGGGACTTGGAGAGCTGAGTCACCCATGGCTAATTCCTGTCAATTCCCTCAGGAAAGGAACAGCTGCCCATCAGGCCAGGTGGCAGCTGTAGGCCTCAAAGACCAGCACCTCCAGCCCAGAGCCGTAAGCATTCTCCCACTCCTGAGACCCAGGCCCCAGGGAGGCGTACCGGAGGCGGCAGGGCCCCAGAAGCCCTTTGTGCTGCACGGGGAAGCTGAGGCTGCGGGAGATGGACAGTCTCACGGTGAGCTGGAGGCACAGAAAATTGGGTCAGGGGCTGGCCCTCCACTGCCCCAGGATGACCAGATTCGTCCAGAGAGGTCTGGGTGGGAACCAGCCCAGCAGTCTGTGCTGGGACCTGAGCAGACCACCTGGAGGTTTAGTCAATGCCTGGACCTCTCCTTACTAGCGACCTATCCCGAGATCCGAGGAGGTCCTTGGGTTGGGAGGTGAGGGGTGGCTCCTGAGAGCTCTAAGCTGGAGTGTGTGTGTGTGTGTGTGTGACCTGGAGCCTGGTCAGACCTTGTTGGCTAAGTGAGGGGGCGTGTCCTGATCCCCAGAAAGTAAGGGGGGCATTGTCCCCATCCCTGGAAAATGGGGGGCCCCTTGGTGGGGGGGTAGGACCATGATGCTCTGGGGTCTATAGGGTTCGCAGAGGACGAGGAGTTAGAGATCTTTAAAGCCCTTGGGGCTCTCCTGAGGAAGTTGGGGCAGGGGTAAGGGACACAGCCAGACACCGAGGGGGCACAGCGAGGGAAGCGTCCCCAGCCAGACTGTCCTCCCGGGGGTCCCTGCACCAGCACACCCGTGGGCACTACCCACCGCAGGGTGCCGTCTGCACTTAGCACGCGCAGTGCCCACCCTTCCTGTAGGCGTCCCTCCCTTCACACCTGATGGGCTGCAAGTTTAGAACAGAAAACATTTCTGACCCGCTCCCTTCCAGTCCAGCCCTATGTCGCGGGGGGGGGGGGGGGGTGGGAGTGAGTGTTCGGTGTCCCCCTCCCCCCCCAAACATTTGGGGGCATATTCAGTTTCCGGGTAGGAATTCCTGGACCAGAGGGCAGGGACACTTAGGAACCCCCAGGTTACCCCCCTGCGCCGGCTGCACTCGAGTCTCCTGGAGGCCCCCCACCCCCTGTGGTTGTGCTCTGCAGCGCGAGGAGCCCAGCCCGGCTCCGCTGACGTAAAAAACTATTTTTCTACTGAGAGCAGCTCTGGGTTCACATCCAAGCCTGAGGGGCAGCCGCCCAGATTTCCCGCGTGCCCCTGCCCCCACCGTCCCCCTCCCCGGGGGCCCTTTGTTCCAGCGGCCGCGCGGCTCCGACGGGCTCCAGGGGCCGGGTCTACACGGCTGTGCCTTCTGCGGTTTGGACAAAGCTCCAGCCACACGTCACCGCTGCGGTCACACGGAGCCGGCGCTGCCGACCCCCGGTGCTCCGCCCGCCCGTTGAATCGGGGGGGGTTGCCGGGGGTCACGGGGGTCGGATGGGAACCTTTTCTCCCCCCTCCCGGCATCTGGGCCTGCGGGGCGGGGTCTGGGCGTGCCCGGATGGGGGCGTGGCGGGACCCATCCCCTAAAGTCTACCCGCACCGTCCCGCCCTGGGTGCCATGGAGGCGAGGGGCGCGCGCGCGGCCCTGTGCGGCGTCACGCTACTCTGCGCCCTGGGCCTGGGCCAGCGCCCCGCCGGGGCTCTGAGATGCGGCCCTGAGCGCCTTCTGCGTGGAACCGGGACGGACGCGCGCTGCTGTCGCCGGTGCGCCCCGGGTAAGGCGCGCGGGGAGCCTGTCTCGGAGCGCAGCAGCGCCGCGCCCTCTCCCTGTGCTCAGACCCGGCCTCCACGGCGTGGCGGGCAGATCTTCTGGGTCCGGAGCCCACGGACCCTGGGCAGTGGGTGAGGGGCGTGTAGCAGAGGGGAGCTCAGCTCGGGCCAGGGGCCATGTGGGGAGTCAGGGGTTAGGGGGTGAGAGCCTTCCCCAAGGAGAGTCTTGGGTCCCAAGGCGGAGGAAAGCTGTCCCAGCTCTCACTGAGCGGCTAGGGAGCCCTTGACCTTCACTCAGGCCAGCACAAGTTCTGCCCCACCCCTGCCTCCGACCTGCCTCTATGGGTGAGGGGCAAGGGGCATGTGCCCGCCTGGGGACAAATACTGCAGGGAAAACAGCCCAGAGTGTCACCCTGCTGGAGCCTGGGGGTTGAGAAGGGGGTCTCTGAGGGTCCCAGTCTCAGTGCGGCAGGCGGGGACAGGCAGGAGGAAAGGGGGAGAGGGAGAAGGTCCCCCAGGCGGCCCCCTTGTCCAGCAGGGACATGTTCTGGTCACATGCCAAGTCACAACCACCCTGGGTGGGAGCAGCTTCAAGGCAGTGGGGGACACAGCCAGGCCACATGGGTGCCTGTGGGGGAGGGAGACAGTGGGACCCCACCGGGGTGTTGGCTCCCAGGCAGGAGCCCTCTGACCTCTGGGGCTGCCTAAGGGTGGAGGTGTGGATGGCCCATTCCCTCTGGGGGGCCCTGGTGGGGTGGTGGGGGAAGTCCTGAGGAGGGAGGGGCTTGGCTTAGCTGTTGAGAGGGCTGGCTTTTCTCTGGCTCAGCAGAGCCCTGCCCTAAGGTGGACTGCACGTGTGTGGAGCCGGGGTTCCACTGCGGGGACCCCCAGTGCACCAGCTGCAAGCATCACACCTGCCCGCCGGGCCAGGAGGCGCGGCCCCATGGTGAGTCCGCGGCAGCTGTGGCCTGAGCGGGTTGGGGGTATGACCAAGGCCCAGCCAGAGCTCAGGGCAGTGGGTGTGTGGCGAGCGCCACGAGGGTGTGGAAGGAAGTGCCTGTGTGTGGCGGGTACGTGTGTGGCCTCTGGGCAGGCAGGCTCCGGCAGCTCCATGGCTAAGCCAGGTGGGTGCGGCCGTTGGCTACCTGTCGCCCGGACCCAGACAGGGGTCCTGGCACCCCCGCGGCTGCGGCGAGTCCTTCCTGCTCTTCGCAGGCTTCCGGTGCAGCTCCAGGGCATTCCTCAGGGCTGGTTGGCGGAGTCCTGGGGGTGTCCAGGGGCTGTCTAGCCCAGGCCTCCCTGTACCCTGTATGTCTGTGTGGGGACATGCCTGCCCCTTCTTGCCCTGTCTGGGGGGCAACCTTTTCCTGGAAGAAGCAGCTCAAATTCTCCTGGGGCCTGTTTACCTGCTGGGAGGGGCATGGTGTAGCCTGAGGACCCTCGTGAGGTCGGGTGGGGCACAAGCCTCACCTTCTCTCTCCAGGACCCTCACTGGTCTCTTGCCCTCCCGGCTACTGGACCAAGTGTAAGGCCTGGCCCGATTCTGGCCTGGTTTCTCCTTCCGTCCCTTCTGGGCTCCCTTACCGTCCAGCCTCCAGTGGACAAGCCCCTGCACTCCCCTCCTCTCCCAGATCCCCCAGGGACCTCCACCAGCTCGGGGTCACAGCCTTGGGGTCCCCCAAATCTGCCTCACCCACAGATGGTTGCCCTGGAATGGGGCACACTTGAGCCCTGATTTTGGCCGGGCCTCAGTCTCGCAGGCCTCAGAGACCTGTTGGACCCAGGCCCCAGAGGGGCCCCAGAGGGACCCTGTCTCACTACCCCAGCAAACCCCAGCTGTCTGTCTGTCTCCAGGGAATTTCGATTTCGGCTTTGAGTGTGTTGACTGCGCCACAGGGACCTTCTCTGGAGGCCAGGAGGGTCGCTGCAGACCCTGGTCAGAGTGAGTGCTAGAGGGACCTTCAGGTGGCTGGCCAGTTCCTGAGGGAGGGGCCTCTCCTGTCCTTCCTGGTGACCCACCTCCCACTCGGAGGACAGCAGCCACGTGGACGTCCCGCTTGGGTGGGTGAGGGCTGACCGAGGGCTCTTCTGTGTGTCCCAGCTGTTCCCAGTTTGGGTACCCCCCCATGTTTCCCGGGAACAAGACACACAACGCCGTATGTAGCCCGGGGCTGCCGCCCGCTGAGACGCATGACGCGCTGACCGTCATCCTCCTCTCCGTGACCGCCTGCGTCCTGGTCCTGAGCGCGGCCCAGCTGGGCCTGCACATCTGGCAGCTGAGACGGCCGCGCGCGTGGCCCCCAGGTCTGCTGTGCCCCTGGGGTGGGAGAGGTGGGTGCCTGGCCTGCCCGCTGACCGCAGCCGCCCCGCAGAGACCCAGCTGCTCCTGGAGGCGCCGCCGCCCGCTGAGGACGCCTGCAGCTGCCAGCTCCCTGAGGAGGAACGGGGAGAGCCGCTGTCCGAGGACAAGGGCCTGAGGCACCTGTGGGTGTGAGGCCTGGCTGCCCTCGGCTCCAGCAGACCCAGAGCCAGACCCTCCCAGGACGCGTCCCAGGGCTGGCCCATGGGAACAGGGCTCTGCACTCCACCGTGGGGCCCCAGCTCTGGGCCCGGCCCTGCTCCCCTCGATGGTGGAAGTGGGTGGGGGATGGTGACAGTGACCAGTCCCCCAGACCGTGCAGAAGAGGCAGCAGCTGTGGCCAGACCCCATGGGGCATACAGCCGCAGCCGTGGCTGCTTCCCTCCCTTGCTGGCCCTGTTGGGGTTGTGGTGTCTGTGGGCCCCTGGCTTCCAGGACAGGAGGCGGGCCCAGTGCAGGACTTGGCTGCAGGCAGTGCTCAATAAACACTGGTCCAGCGACTTGAGTGGCCATGTTCTGGGGTGGGAGCGCAGGGAGGCGAGGCCCCTACCAGTACCCCCGCGCCCACCCACCGCCGGCTCCTTCCAGCCAAGGCGGGGCTGAGGGTTGGGCAGAAGTCAGGGCCGTCCTAGTCCTGGCCCAAGCGCTTAGCAGGGCCCTGGAAGGCTTCCTGGAGGAAGGGCAACATGATGGACACGTGTCCTGTGTGCCTTTTTGCTGCCCTGTCCAAACCCCCTTCCCTGGCAGTCCGCTTGGCGCTCTGGGACAGTTGGATTCTGTAATCTGTGCTGGTCACACAGTCTGCTGGCTCCCGGGAGGTGCCTGTCCTTGTGTCATTCTGGCCCCAAGTCCAGGGCGAGGCTGGTTTCTACAGGCAACTCTTCCTGGTCAGGAGGGCAGCCTCTGAGGTCCCTGCCTTTGGCCCCCACCCTCTAGGCCAGACCTGCTGCTCGCCCCCACACCTCCCAAATCGCTGTCGCTTGGGGCATGGTTCTAGGCTCCCGCCCATCACAGGTGAGCAGTGTCCTTCCAGCCTCTGGGCGGAGCTGGCACCTGCAGTTTGATAAGGGCTTCTTGGCACTGCTGTCCAGGGTGTGGAAGGCCGGTGGAGGCTGGTCTGGACAGCAGGCCTGTCAGGTCCCGGAGCTGCAGCTCCCCCACGCCCCCCTTCCCGCCTGCCTGCCTCCCAGGAGGGCCCCTTGACTCACTGGCCCTCACCCCCACTCAGTCCCGTTGGGCTGCAAGGAGGCAGTGGAGAGAGCTGCGTGTGTCATGCTCAGGGGCGTGACCCCCACCCCCTCCCCACCTCGGCGCAGTGTGGCCTCTCCACCCCTGGAACGAGGGGTGCTGACGGTGCCTTCCTGAATTTACTCACATGGGAAACATCCTCTCCGTGCCTGCTGGATCCCAGGCTCCCGGCACGCCCACAGAGCCCATGTTCCAGGTGAGGGTCCAGGTGAATTAGCTAATAAATGAGAAAAACACAGGTCGACTGGCTGGGTCTCAGGGGACCGTGGGAGACACCATGTTGTGTTCCTGGGGGCCCCCAGCAGACTGCTCTGGGACCTGCTGGTCATGCCCCTGGCCCCTCTTCTGTCTCCAGGCTAGGTCTCCGGCCTGCCAACCCCTTGTCCCCCCTGCTTCAGGGGGCCAGCTCTCCTCTGGGCTTCTCTTGTCACCTGGGTCACTTGACGGTCCCCCCCCCCACGGGTGGGGCACATGGATGCTCAGGGCTTCCTGGACCTTCCACAGGGGCTGCCTCAGGCTGCCCCAGGGCAAAGGGCTCCCCAGCCCTGGCTCGGCGGTCCTGGTGGTGGGGGCTGGGTGGGGGTGGGGGCTGGTTGGGGGAGAGTCGGGTCGTCTGCAGTCATAGATCTTCCTAAGAAAACACTCCGGCCTGCACACACCCAGGTCCTGTGGGACCTCTCTGTCGGCTGACTCAGCGTGGAAACTCCCCATGGGGGGGGGTCCCGTGTGGGGTGACAGCACCCCACCGTCAGCACGGGGGCGGCACCGGGCAGGGTGGGAGATTCCAAGGCCCAGGTGGAGAATGGGGCCGAGGCTGGATTCAGTCAGTGGCAAAAGAGGTGGGGGAGGGAGACCTGGCTGGGCAGGGTGGGCAGGAGGGCTCAGGGGAACCCTTGCAGAGGCTGGATAGGTCCCCTACTCTTTACCCCCCCACTGCCCCTCCCACAGACGCCCCCTCTCCTTCAACCCAGCTCCATCTGCCCACCCTGCTCCTGCCCTCCTTGGAGCCCCCAGAACCCCATGATTTGCAAGCTTGTGTTGGCCCCGAGGGCCCCCCAGCTCCATGGACATGGAACAGGGAGGGAGTGCATGTAGAGACTTGGTCTCTGTGATTTATAGAACAACTGTTGGGTGAAGAGGGTCTGTGCACGGGGTGCCTGGGTGGCTCAGTGGGTTAAAGCCTCTGCCTTCGGCTCAGGTCATGATCCCAGGGTCCTGGGATCGAGCCCCACATTGGGTTCTCTGCTCAGCGGGGAGCCTGCTTCCCCCTCTCTCTCTGTCTGCTTCTCTGCCTACTTGTGATCTCTGTCAAATAAATAAAATCTTAAAAAAAAAAGGAGAGAGTCTGTGCGGGGCCCTGGGGGCTCAGGGGCTGGAGAGTCAGGTGGAGACCCCAGGGCCAGGGCGGGCAGAGCCTGCCACTGAGGGTTTTAGGTAGGTGAGGCCTGAGCAAGTCTATCCAGGCTCTGGGGGATGGAACTGTGGGTGAGCGATGGGGAGGGGCAGTGCCTGGGACAGTGGGGGAAGGGTAGGGGACTAGCGCTGAGGTAAGGGGCTGCTGAAAGGCTCCTGTACCCCTCCTACTCAGCCCAGCTTCCTGGAGTGGGGGCAGGTAGGTGCCCGGGCAGACCACCTGTCCTCCTGGGTCACTGAGCCCCAAGAGGGACCCCACCATAAGACTCTGCCCAGGCCTGCTCCAGGCCCCGCTCTGCTTCTCCTGAAACCCCCCACCGCCCAGGACCCACTCTCCAGCTGTTCCGGAAAACCACAGCTCCTCCCCCGGCGGTAGCAGTCCACAGTGTGTTCAACCTCAGATAAGGGCCTGAAGGCCGCCCTTGGTTCCCAGAAGAGCTTCCGGCCACAGCAGCTCCCACGCAGTCCCCAACCCTCACCTTGGTGGGAAAGGCTCCTGCCTCTCCCTTTACTGAGATCTGGACTCAGGCCATGTGGGACCCCCTCAGCAGGACAGAGGGTGGGGACAATGCGAGTTACAACTGCGACAGTCCTGGGGCAGCGTCCGGGAGCCGTCCAGAGGCGGTTGGTCCCCGGCTAACCACCAGGCGCTGGGATGTGCACCCATTGGTAAAACATGTCAATGATGCCAGGCCTGGGCATGCAAGGGCTCTGACCAGGACGCGGGGCCATCACTCTTAGGCCCCCACCTCGTGGTTTCCAGAACATTCCAGAGTGAGCCACTCTTCCTCCAGTGGGGCTGAGCTCGGAGGTCTGAGAGGGACTGGCTCCTGGAGGCGCTAGGCCTGTGTTCCAGTAGGAGGCTGCACTGGGGCGGGCAGACAGCAGTCACGGCCTCCGCCCCCACCTGGCTCAGGGTTCCAGGAAGCTTTGGGAGCTGAGGTGCTTTCCAGAGATGCGGATTCAGGCCCGGGGTGCTCCAGACCCCTTTCTCAGACACACACTCTCTGCAGGAGACAGGCTTCGGGGGTGGGGGGGGGGGGATGTCCTCAGAGACCTTGGGACTCCGTGGGATCTTTGGCGGAAACAGCCCCACAGCTGCTGGGAGGTGGTCAGCTGACCCCGTGGTGTGTCTGCTAGGGGCTGAAGGAAGCCCCAGTGGGCACCAGGGGTAGGGCCCGCGCTGGGTGGTCCTCTGGGTGGAGGATGCAGGGATGGTGGGGGTCCCTGGGGGGTCCCTGGGTGAGAGCAGAAGGCACTGCTTGAACTCCCCACCCACCAGCAGGGCCCCAGGCACACCCCTGGAAGGGGAGGGAGGGAGAGAGAGGAAGGGGTGGGGGGAGAGAGAGAGACTCAGCTTTCAGGGGCCTGTATTTGCCTTGAAAATCGAACTCCCTGCTGCGGAGGCAGGCTGCTCCGAGTCCCTGCGGGCCCTGACCCGTCTTCTGTGCCTGCTGCCTTTCATCTGATGCTGGGATCTACTGCGCACCTCCAAATGCTCCTCCACAGCACCCCAAACTCCATCTCTGGCCTTCCTTCCCCGGCAGTCCTTCTGGCTTTGGCTGGCGAGGGCCCTTCGGGGCCACGAGCGAGGTGGAGCTGGGAGGTCCAGACAGGGGGCAGGGGTGTGCCCATCCCCTCTGGGGCTTTGGACGAACAGCAGTGATTCTTGGGAAACTTCGTTTATTGACATTTGGGCTCTCAAGGGGGTGCCAGGGACCCCAGAGCAGCAGACAGGCCTTTGGGGGAGCCCTAGGAGGGCAGGGCAGGCCATCCCACCACTGGACACTCCTCCCCACACTGCACCCACCCAGCAGGGAGAGCGAGCCTGTCACTGGGGCCTCAGGCCGCTCTGTGAGCGCCAGCCACGTTGATGATGCTCTGGGGATTGGCACCATTGGGCCACATCAGGAGCCATGACTGTGTGTGGGGCAGTGGCCCATGGGGCTTGCAGGGCTGATGGCATGTCAGGAAGGGGTGAGTGAGGCATGTGAGCTGGGACATGGGGCACAGAGGCCCCAGGGGGTGTGTCAGGAAATGAGGAGTGGCCTGGATGCCAGCAGGGAATGTAGCCTGGACCCCAAAGGTTGCGGTGTGCATTTCACAAGGGCCTGGGTGCCCTTGGCTTGCCCAGGAGGCCCCTGCACCCCCACCCCATGGAGGCTGGTCCTCTTCCCTCCCTGGCTTTCAGAGCACAGAGCCAACAGACCCAGCTGCACAGCGGCCCATGGCTGAACTCAGCCAGTCCCAAGGATTGACCACAAGACATGCTGGGAGGGAGCTTAGGGTTCCTGGACCCCAGGCCCATGGTGATGTGTGCTTCTTGACTTTGGTCTGGGGACCCCATATCCTAGGGTGCAACAAAGTGCATTGGGGTGGCAGGGGTCCGGCGGGTGGTCTGGGAGTGATGGGAGAGGCCAGTCCCTGCTCCAGGACTGCCTTCAGGACTTTCCTCTGCCGGGGCGGGGGAAGGGGGGGGGGGCGGGAGCGGGCTCTGATACATGGTGGTGCACAGTGCCCCCTAGTGGTGCCCCCCCAGCAGTGGCTGAACCGCAGACCCCTGTGGACCCCAGGTCCCACCAGCTCTCCAGTGCAGAACAGAGAGCCGGTTCCAGCAGCCCCTGACCCAGTGGGTCAGGAGGAGGGCATCTGTGACTCGGTGGTAACCATTTGCTGGGGTGAGGGACGGGAGCATAAGAGGGAGCAGAGGAGGAGGTGTACAAGCTGGTGGGGGTATGGGGTGGTGGCTGGGGGTTGGGCTGCCTGGACCCCAGCATCTGGACTGGGAAGGTGTGGGTGGCTGGGGGGACAAGGGAGAGGGGATTATTGGTGGCTCTGGACATCTAGTGGTAGCAGGGGGCCTGGACACACCCGAGGCCCTAAATCTCCCTCAACTACAGGGCTGGGCCTATGAGGAATGGGAACACTGAAGCCATGCATGGCTTGGCCTGGGTGGGGCCAGTGCTGGCCCGGCACGTCCCTCGGGGCTGCCCTGCGGTGGCCATGTGCCCCTCACCGGCGGCCTAGATGCTCAGCCTCTGTCGCAGGGTCTGTGGGATCTTAGGGGCCATGGGAGGCAGAGGGGGGTGCAGAGCCCGGGCCTGGGCTCTGAAGGCCCAGAAAGGGGCTGGGCCCGGGCAGGGTGAGGGCAGCCCCTCTGCTGAGTGTGAGGGAGCCCTCCTTTCCATGGGGACCCCAGAGTCAGGCAGCAGGGGCCGCGTGGGTTGTGGGGGTGCGGGAGCTGTTCCTGTTAGTCCCAGAGGGACTCAGGGTGATAGGAGCCCAGGGCCTAGCGGGCTTCCCCCTGACGGAGGCCGCCGCAGGAGGGCAGAGGGGAAGGCTGTGGGGAGCTCCTCCCCTCCCAGTAGGACAGACTCCCCAGCCCGCTCCCCTATTCCCCCCAGCCCAGCCCCCAAGGACAGATCCCAGCAGTGGACTAGGGGCCTGTGGGGCAGAGGCAAGGGCGTTGCGAAGGAGCGACAGGGGGGCACCCGGGGGCTGGGGCCGCCGGATCCGCAGCCGAGGCGTTTGTAACAAAGTAGCCTTTATAGGTCCCGCGGGGGCGCCGGCGGCTGCCCGCTAGGAGCCGCGGAGGCCCGCGTTCTTGCGCTCCGTCGCCAGCCCCGGGGAGGGCTCTCGCGCCGGGTCCCCAACGCCCGCGCGCGGCCGTTCGGCCCCGGGCTCCCCGCTCTGGGCGCCGTCGGGGCCAGGGCCGGGCTGTCGGGGCCGCCTCTGCGCCGAGGGCGGCCGCCTGTGCGCGCCTCCGGGGCTCCGGGGCAGCGCGGGCCTGCGCGCGCCCGGCCTGTCGACGGCGCGGGGCTGAGGTGGCGCCGAGCAGTCGGCCTCGCCCGCTGGCCGTGGGGGCGGCGGGCGGAGGGCGCTGCGGGGGCCCCCCAGGCGCGGCCACAGGTCCGCCTCGCCGTTGTGCAGGAGCGCGAAGCGGCGCTGGGAGAGCAGAGGCAGCATCTTCTGGTTGCGCAAGCTCTTCTGAAAGGTCTCGATTGCCAGGTCTGGGGGCGGCGGGGGAGGGGGTGAGCGGGGGCCTTGGCTGCGGGGACGTGGGAGCGGCGGGGGCTCAGCGCCCCTCCCCCAGCGTCACGCCCCCTCCCCCAGTGGGGTGGAGGTTCTGAGGCCAGGCGGAGTTGGGGGTGAGAGAGCCGAGGGGCGGGACCCAGCTGGGGACGAGGTGTGGCCGGCACCAAGGTGGTGGGGAGGGCGGGCAGGGACGCCCTTCTTCGGCGGGGCCTGAGCAGAGGGTGCGGTGTCCACGTAGGCCCTCTGGATGTTGGAGAACCAGGTTTGCGGGCATGTGAATTTGGGGAGAGGGTGGACTGGCGCACCCACAGCTGGGCAAGCAGGGAGGGGCCTGTTTGAGGGTCTGGGGGTTGCAAAGGGCCTCACCCAGCGTCTCCATGACCACGCCTGGTATCACCTCCTTCAGGACTTCACAGTTGGTGTGCAGGGCGGGGTTGGAGTTCATCTCCAGCAGCCACACCTGGGCCCAACGCTGGTTAGCATCGTCCCCACACATCACTTGGCCCAGGGAAGGCTGAAGCCTTGGTCCCCATTAAGGCGAGTGATCCTGGGGAGCCCCTTTTCTGTGGCCTCACTCCTCCTATTTGCCCAAGGAGCCAAGGCTCTGAGGGTCTGGCTCTGCGGGGGGCACTGCTCCAGCTGCAGGAGCTCGGCAGGGGTGGCGGAGTCTGACTGCGACCCTGGCGCATGGGCTTGCCTGCGGGCTCAGGATAGGCACTGGTGGCCCCTGCGTACCAAACCCCACTGGTCCCAGGAAACTGAAGAAGTACCTTGAAGTTCTCATCGATCAAGAAGTCACAGCCGATGAGGTCAAAGTAGCCCAGTTTGCGGTGCAGCTTGGACTTGACAGCCTGGAAGCAGTGCGCCATGATCTGCTGCATCCGCTTCTGGGGGCAGGGAGGGGTGACATCCAGTCACCCCCTGGTTGCATCTCCCAGGCCTGAGCAGCTACAACCACAGCCCTCACCTGCACTCCCACCTGTGTCCTGCCCAGCTCTCTCCTGTGCCCTCACCTGTGCTCCCACCTGCCCCGCTACGCACACTCTCACACTGAGTCACAGGCTCACAGCAAGAAACTCATTCATTCTTGTTTTATTCTCTCAGCAAACATGTGGAGCTGCTCCTTCACGGCAGGGACTGGGGTACCAGAGTGAAGAGAACTTTGAGCAGCTCACTCACAGCAGGAGAGAGAGAAAACAAACGTGACATGTAAATACACAAATACACATGTATATTTTGTGCAGCAGATCAAGAAGTGCTGATAAAGAAAACAAAGCCGGGTTGGGGGCTTCTAGGGTGGTGGTTGCAAAAAAGGGTGTGGGTGTTGGGCCTCAGTGAGGAAATAGTGAGCGGACTTTGGACTGAATGGAAGGTCTGTGGGATAGGGGTGGGGAGTTTGGGGGAAGGGCAGCAGCTGTAAGTGCGAGTGTGTCGAGTGTGTGTCGAGGTGTTGGGGGAAGAGAGCAAGGCTGCCACCATGGCTGCAGCGAGCGGGAGGGCAGCAGGAAGTGAGTGCCTCCTGGCTGCTCTGCTGAGAGAAATGGAGGGCGATGAGGGAGTTGCTGGGCAGGTGGAGGTACTAGGCTGGGTTCTGAATGTATTTTGATGTAGAGCTGACCTGACTGGTTTATGAATGGGTTATGAGTTGTGAAAGAGCCATCCTTAAGTCTTTGGTCTAAAACTCTGCAGGGATGAAGCCCCCATCACTGAGAAGAGGAGGAGAACAATGGAGTCTGAGATGTTTAAGAGCTTGCAGATGGGTGTTGATAAGCTCTGGGATATAAGGCATCTGGTCAGGGCCAGATGTTTAACTGTGAAGCCAGGAGACTTTCATTACCAATGGTGCAGATAAAGAGCAGAGCCCTGGGACTCCAGAGAGCAGTAGTTGGGATGTGGGGTCCCAGAACAGGGTGCCAAGAGGGAGTGGGCAAGGCCCTGGAAGCCAGAGGGAGAAAACACCAGGGAATGAACAGCTAGTCCAAACTGGCTGACAGATCAGAGAAAACGAAGACTGGGAACTGACCCCTGGGTTTGGCAACAGGGAGGTCACTGGTGACCACAGCGAGCGTCTCAGTGGCAAAAGAAGCCCACTGGAGTGGGTCATGGATTCAGCACAATGGCAGAGAGAGGACATCTGAAAAGAAGTCACTCCATAAAAGCCACCAAACAAAGCAACCTGGCAAAAATAATCAGAACCAACTTTCTCAGAACCCCGGAAACTAACCCAAGGCTTGCAGCAACCTGAGGAGTGTTTGTGAAAGAAAAATCTTGAATCTTGGTAAGCAGACCAAGGTTTGTAGCATTTTAACTTGCCTTGGTTTTATCCCTTCTTCCCACCTTGGTGCCAGACTTGAAAAAAGTCTGCATTCTCAGCACTGGGGATAGCGGAATGGGTTTGGCTTGCAAAAAGATCGTAAAACATAGTAGCTACTTGGGATCTCTCTGCTGGCCTCCCCAGAAGACCTCACTTGAAAGGAACTAAAGGAAAATATGAGCATGATACCCTTCCAAATAGAGAAGATCAGTGAAGGGATGGGTGTTATAAAAGGAAACCACACAGAGATTCTGGATTTGAAACGTATAGTAAATAAAAAATGAAATTCAAGGAGCTTAACAGTTGTTCGAAGATAGGTCAATCGAGATTATCCAGTCAGAGGAACATTAAAAAGGGAATGAAGAAAAAAGAAACAAAGCTACAGAGGCTGGTGAGACACCATCAAGCAGACCAGCATATGTAATGGGAGTCCCAGGAGGAGAAGGGAGTAAGAGGCAGGAAGAATAGTTGAAGAAATAATGATACAAAACTTCCCAAATTTGATTAAAAAAAAAAAAGTCGACACACCCAAGAAGGTCACCAATTAGGATAAACTCAAAGAGATCCAGCGTATCATAAGCGAACTTTCAAAAGACAAAGAGAGAATGTTGAAATCAAGACAGAAGCGATGAGTCATAAGGGGTCCTTGATAGGATTCACAGCCAAATTCTCATCAGAAACCATGGGTTCCAGAAGACAGTGGAATGACATATTCAAATGCTGAAAGGAAAACCTGTCAACCAAGAATTCTCTATCTGACGGGCACACAATGTATGCAGCTGTAATCTGTGAAAAGGACAGCATAAAGGGAGGGAAAGAACTATCTAGGAACAAGGGTTTTTGTGTTTTTTTTTTTAATACTATGGAAATCAACTTGGTATTAGTCCAAACTAAATTGTTATAGATGAAGAGGTTAATGGTAATCCTCAGGGCAACAGCAAAGAAAATAATTCAAAAACATATAATAAAAGAAATGACACTAGATATGATACACTAGGAAATACGTGTTTAATACAAAAGGAGGCAGTAATGGAGGAATTGAGAAGTAAAATAGATACGACATGTAGAAAACAAATAGAAAAGTACATGTAAGTCCTACCTACCAGTAACTGTATCAAATGTAAATGGATTAAACTTTATAATTACATAACAGAGATGGGCAGAATGCATTAAAAAACACAACCCTTGATATCCTGTCTATAAGAGACTCACTTTTTTTATTCAAAGACACAGGCTGAAAGTGAAAGGATGGAAAGAGGGTATGTCATGCAAACAGTATCAAAAGAGCCGGAATGACTATACTGATATAGATTTTAAGACAAAATAAGAAAATAAATTTTAAGACAAAAATTTTTTCTAGAGAAGGAAAAGGACTCTGTATAATAATAGATCCAGAAGATGTAATAATTTAAACACCCGTGCACCTAACAACAGATCCTCAACATACATGAAAGGAAAACAGAACTGAAGGGCAAAACAGACAATTTAACAGCAGCAGTTGGAGACTTCAATACCACACTTTCAACGTTGGGTAGAATAATTAGACCAAAGAACAACAAGGAAACAGAAGACTCAAACGACACTATAACGCAAGCAGACTCCAGACATCCGCAACAGCAGAGTGTGCGCTGTGTGTGCTCTTCTCAAGTGAACATGGAACATTCTCCAGGGCGGACAAAATGTTAGGACAGAAAGCAAGTTTCCATAATTATGAAAAGGTTCAAAACATACAAAGTATGTTCTCTGACCACAGTGAAATGAAATAAAAAATCTGCGAGAAGGAAAATTGGAAAATTCACAAGTTTGTGGAAATTAAACAGCACACCCCTTAGCAACAAATGAAATGAAGGTAGAACATAGAGTCTTATGCATTGTGGTAAAATCAGTGCTTGGGGGAAATTTATGGCGGTAAACACCTATAAAAAAAACAGGAAGAAAGACCTCAGATCGATAACCTAGACTTAAACCTTAATAAACTAGAAAAAGAGGAGAAAATCCAAAGGAAGAAAAATTATGGGTATAAATGGACGGGAGAATAGAGAACAACAAAGAAAATAAATGAAACCAAAAGCTGGTTCATTGAAAAGATTGACAAAATGGACAAACTCATAGCTAGATTGACTGAGAAAATGGAGAAAAGACTCAAGAAATAAAGGAAGACCTCACGTAGAGATGAAAATAATTATAAAAAGGACTAGGATTCATAGAACTCTATGAGCAGTTTTATTCCCAATCAAATTAGACAACTTGAAAGAAACGCACAAACTAACAGCTCGACCCAATAAGAAACAGAAAATCTGAATCACCTACGACAAGCACAAGTCGAGTCGGTCCCTAAAAACCTTCCCACAAAGAAAAGGCCAGGATCAGGTGGCTTCACTGGAGAAGTCTTCCAAATATTTAGAGAATTAACACAAACTCTTCACAAACTTTCCAAAAAAGAAGAGAAACACATCCCAAGCACGCAAGAGAGTGCTACAGACCAGTATGGCTGGTGTGTGTAGACACAGACACAGTCGTTGAAGTGCCAGCAAATCACATCCAGCAGCGTGCTCGCGCGTTAGCAGATCACATCTGAGTGTGATTTACGCCAAAATGCAGGAGCGATTCTGTGCATGAAAACCGGTCGGTGTAACACACCACACTCGCAGAGTGAAGGAAATAGCAGCTGTCAGAACAGCGTACCCTGGCTCGCACATCAATGGAGTGGAATTGATAGAAATTCTAGAGAAGGGGCGCCTGGGTGGCTCAGGGGGTTAAAGACTCTGCCTTGGGCTTTAGAGGTCCTGGGATCGAGCCCCGCATTGGGCTCTCTGCTCAGCAGGGAGCCTGCTTCCTTCTCTCTCTGCCGGCCTCTCTGCCTACTTGTGATCTCTGTCTGTCAGATAAATAAATAAAATCTTAAAAAAAAAAAAGAAATTCTAGAGAAACCCAGACCTATCTGACCAGTCGATTGTCAACAGTATGCCAAGAACAGTGTCCTTGACCACGGCGCTAAGAAAGCTGGACATCCACACACAGAAGAACGAGGGTGGACCCCTCCCATCGTACACAAAAATTAACTCAAAAGGGAGCAGTGGCCTCACTGTAAGAGCCAAGGTGATAAAACTGAGAAGAAAACACAGGTACAAATCTCTGTGACTTTGGATTTGGAAATGGATCCGTAGATATGACATTGAAGGCATGAGTAACAAAGAAAAAATAGATGAATTGGATTCCCTCAAAATCAATACCTTTGGTGCAAGAAAGAGGACATTATCAAAAAAGTGAAAAGACAATTCACAGAACGGGGGAAAATACGCGCAAGTCACGTTATTTGATAAGGGTCTAGTATCCAGAACACGCAAAAACTCTTAGACCCACAGATGGCCAATAAGCGCGTGAGAGGGTGCCCAACGTTATTCATCATTAAGGAAATGTAAATCAAAACCACAATGAGATACCACTTCACACCCACTGGATGACTTAAAAAGAAAGGAAGAAAGAAAAGGAACAGTGTTTGTGAGAATATGGAGAAATTGGACCCTTCTGCATTGCTGGTGGGAGTGTGGCACGTTGCAGCCTCCGTGGAGCACAGTGGGCCGTTCCTCAACAAGTTCAACATACGTTACCGCACGACGCACACGGCATTCCGACTGCATACCTGAGAGAACTGAAAATGTGTTCGTGCAGAAGCTTGCGCATGAATATTCACAGCAGCATTACTCATAACAGACAAAAAGCGGGAATAACCCACATCCATTGGTAACAAATGTTTATCCAAAGAAACTGTGTAACCCTACAGTGAGATCTTCCTGAGTCACAGACAGGAATGAGGGATGCCACATGCAGGAAAGGCCATGATGATTCCATTATTACGAAATGTTCAGAATAGGGTAATCTGTGGGGACAGGCATGGTCACCAAGAGCCAGGGGACGTGATGAGGAGTGACTGTTGATGGGTGTGGCTGTTTCTGTTTGAAGAACCAGGTGGTGATCATTGCACAACTTTATGAATAAACTAAAACCCCCTGAACTGTACACCTTAAAGTAGAGAACTCCGTGTGAGGTGAACCATTAAAGAGTGAGAGAGGGAGGGAGAGACAGGGAGAGGGGGAGGGAGGGAGAGGGAAGGGGAGGGTAGGGAGAGAGGGAGAGAGGGAGAGAGAAGAGAGAGGGAAGGGAGGGAGAGGTAAGGGAAGGGAGGGAGGGAGGGAGAGGAAGGGAGAGGGCATGAGGGAGAGATTGGGAGGACGGTGGGAGAGGGAAGGGGAGGCAGAGAGGGAGGGGGTAACTAGCCCCCCTCCCAGTGGCCAGCTGCCACACTCACTGCTTAGATGCACACGCACGTGACACACACTTTAGTGCGGACACACTCCCCAGGAAGGTGTGAGCACCTTGCGCCCAGCGCCCCCCACTGTGAGGGGTCTTAACCCTTAGCCCCTGCCCCACAGGCTGGTGTCGGGAGGGGCGCACGGACCGTGAAGGTGGTGAAGACCCAGTCTCTGGGGAGCCCCTTGGTCTTCCTGAATCTGTCGTTGATGTGGCGGTTAAGCTGGTCCATGCTCCACACCGTGTCCTCCTTGAGCAGCACATACAGGGGGCTCTTCTTCTGCATGAACTGGGGGCAGTGCGGTACCTGCAGACCACCACTCCCGAACTCCCCGAGGCTCTGCCCCCGCTGAGGGCCCCCGCAGAGAGCCCCTCCCCACCGCCGCTACCCCAGCTACCCTGCAAACCCTGCTGAGACCCTCTCAACCGTCAAGTGTCCCCCCGATCCTCGTGGAAGGCCCCCACGCAGACCCTGTCACGGAGACATCTGCGCACAGGGTCTCTCCACGGAGGTCCTCACGGAGACCCCTCCCCACGGATTTCCCACGCACCTGCCAGCCGTGGTCCTGCCCCTATCAGGCTCCGCCTCCACCTGTCGCCCTTGACCTTCCACCCTTCCCCTTTGTGGCCATGGGCCCACCTCTACCTCCCCAGGTCCAGCCCCGCCCTAATCGTGCCCAGGGCCGCGCTCCATCCATGAACCCATCTCCCCAGAGCCGGGCTGGCGTCCAGTGGCCTCTCCCCATCAGAGCGAGTGGGCCGCCTCCAGGCCTGAGCGTCAGTCCACAGCTGAACTCCCTTCTGTGTGCCGAGCAGCGATCTTGTACCAAGGCTGCAGAGGGGGCCCTCATCTGTGGGGTCCCCTTACCTGGTTGGTCAGGTGGCCGCTGAGGTCGCTGGAATGAGGGTCATACAGGCTGAGGGTGAGGCGGGCGTAGCCGTGGCAGAAGAAGACCATGTAGGGCATGGCACAGGCGATGAGCAGGTAGGAGCGCACGTCGAACTTCTTCCCATCGAGCAGCAGTGGGTTCTGGATGTACCTGGGGACACATGGGGGCTGAGGGCATGGCCAGCCTAGTCTGTGTCCCCTGGTCCCCTCCTGGGCCCAGACCAGTTCCTCAGCACCACTTGTCCCAGGTGTCTGTGGGCTCTCTCTTCTGAGGGGACATTTCTGAGCCTGGCCCCAACCCTCAGCCCATGCACGTGTCTGGGGTGCCCCGCCCCTCCCAAGGCAGTCCCCCCACCCCCCAGGGCAGTTTTCACTAGGATTCCTGAGCGTGGGAGTAGATTGGGCCCCTGTGGGCAGGGAAGACTTCCTGGAGGAGGGAGGGCCGACACTGGGCCTTCAAGGGCGGCTGGCCGGGAGGAGACATCCCAGGTGGAAGGAACGGTAGGTCTAAAGACCGCGAGGCCCGGAGGGGGGCGCAGACCGCAGCTGTGGCAGAGTCACACTGACATGTGGGGGCTCCGAAGGGACCTTGGGAGGCCAGATTGCTGCTCCTCCACCTCCTGCTGTGAGGCTGAGGGTTTGGATCCCGTCCAGAGGCAGAGGGAGCCAGGGAGGGGTGGTCAGCTCTGCTCCAGGCCTGAAGGCTGGGGCTGGCTGCGCTGGGGATGGGAGACTGGCTGGCCTTCCTGCAGGACAGGACGGAGGGGCAGTGCCCAGGCTGGGGAACGAACCGACCAAGGCTTCCCTGTCTCTACCTCCATGTGCAGGAGCCTCTGTGTGTGGGGTTGGGGTGGAGGGCATCTCCTCTGCAGCCCGGACGAGCTGTGACCACCCCACCTCTGCCAGCTACACAGGGGCCCAGCTGAGGGCACCACAGCTTTCCATGACCGAGGACTCCTCTATGGGCCCTGGGAGCCCCACCAGCTCTCCCAGGCGCCAGCGGGGCCCACGGCCAGCCCCAATGTGAACTATGCCCAACACCTCTGCACGACCCGCGCCTGAGGTGCCCTGAACGGCATCTTGCGGTAGATGGGGTCGTCCTCAATGCTCTGGGTCTTGACTTGCAGGGCAGCGACTTCCTCCTGGCTCCGGAGCAGGAAGATGCCTTTACCCTGGTTGCAGGCACTGGGCTTGCAGATCCAGATGTGCTTTCCTGTAGGAAGAGCCCCGACTCTGGGCTAGCCCCGCCCGCCCCGCCCCGACCACGCCCAGTCAGGCCTGGCCACGCCCAGGAGTGGCCACGCCCACGCCCCAACCGCCCGCCCGGCCATGGTCCCGCCCCTTGCCAGGCTCCGCCTCCACAAGGCCCAGCCTTGACCCTCCACCCATCGCCCACCTGGCTCCACCCCTTCACCCCTCCATGGCCACGCCCCCTCGCCTTGTAAGGCCCGGCCCCGCCCCAAGCGTGCCGGGTTCTTGGTCCATCCCTGAACCCATCTCCCAGAGCAGGCCTGGCGTCCAGTGGCCTCTCACCGTCAAAGAGAGTGAAGAAAGCCTCTCTCTCGTCCCTGATGTCCAGACGGTATGTCTCTGGGAAAAATTCTTCCATTTTCAGGACCCTGGGGGAGCAGGGAGGTGGGGAGGACACAGGGAGGGCTGTCCCCTCCCCCCAGGCTAGGCCAGCGAGCCTTTCTAGGGGACTGACCTGGGGGCAGCTGGAGGACAGTGTCCACTGGAAAGCTGGTTGCCTCTGTCCCCCAGCACCAGCTGTTCCTTCTGCACCTTCTGTCCCCTTGCCAGGAGCACTCTTTTCTGGGTCCTCACACACCTGGCTTCTTTGCAGGCTGCGTCACCCATGCCCTGCCCCTCTCCCACCGCACCACTGTGCGCCAACGGTTCTGAGCTGTGTCCCCAGGCATGCACTGAGTGGTCTGTACGGGTCCCTGGACACCCCGGCCTAGTCCACCCGTCTTCCCCTGGCTGGGGGCTGCCCTCTAATCCCTCTTTGTCAACCACCAGGCCTTCGATGTAGGGTGGAATGGCTCCTTCCAGCAGGGCTGCAGGAGGCCCCTGGGCTGGGCCACGTGAGCTCAAGGGCAGATGCTGTGACCTCTCTAGATCTGTACCCCAGAGGGAGGGCCTGGCCTGAGCGGCTGCCCGGTAGTGTGCGGAGAACGGATGGTGGGTGTTTGGAGAAGAGAAGAGGTGGGGTGTGGGTCGGTGTGTGATTGGATAAATGGATTTTGGGTGGAAGTAGGTGCATGGGCAGGTGGCCCCGTGCAGAGACGGACACTGGAAGGGATTAGAATTGCTGACACGGGTAGGGTCGGGGTGGAAGGCTGGACATGTGGATGTGAAGGGGATGTCCCGGGTGAGCGGGTGGGCTGCCGGCCTGGTTGGGGGTGCGGCGGGTGGGAAGACAGATGGCGCACAGCTGGGGGGGGACAGGCAGGTGAGGGGAGGGCAGCAGGGTGAGTAGGCTGAGTGGCTCAGGCACTGGGGCACGGTGGGTGGGAGGGGAGCAGATGGACAGCGGTGTGGGAGAGTCTGGGGAACAGGGTGTGGGTGGGTGGGTGGCTGTGGCGTGTGTGTAGATCACTGGCTGGTCCATGAGGGTAGGTGGATGGAGTGGGTGACGTGTGTGGGGGTGCATGGATGTAGGTGAACAGACAGAATGGTGAGTGGACGGGTTCCAGGGAGGGCGGTCGGGACTAGCGACGGACACGCTGGGTGGGCGGGAGTGGGACCCGGAAGAGGGCAGCAGGTGGGATGGGGCATGTGGGTGGCGTTCTGCTCCCCTGAAGCACACACAGCCGTGTGCTGGGTTGACGGTGGGCGCCCGGGGCGGGGGAGGGGTGGGCTTACTTGGCCTGGGCACACAGCGGGGTCTTGTGGGCCGTCTTCACAGCCCTCGCGTGCTCCCGCAGGGCGCTGAGCAGCCCGATCTTGGTGGTGAGGAGCTTGTTGTTGGGAATCTGGTACAGTAGCTGCTCACATGGGAGGGGCAGAGTCCTGGCTGGCACGTGGGGCTGGGGGCCAGAGCTCCCCGGGCCGCCGCAGCCGCCCAGAGCGGAGGCCTGGCGCATTATGCCACCCCTGGCTCTGGACCAGGAGGCTCTTGCAGGCTGCAGGCCCGAGGCGGGGGGCCCTCCCCTGCTACCTTCTCGGAAGCTGTAGTAGTTGTCTCTGCACTTGACCTCACACCACTTCAGCTTGTAGTCCTCACGCCGGCTGTCCTGGATACGCTGCCAGCCCTTGCCCTTGCAGTAGGAGCTGATTCTGCGGGGGCACAGAGGCAGGGGTGACCCTGGGGGCCTTGGGGACCCAGGAGTGGGTGGGCACATGGGTGCGGGGGGACGTGGAGGCGGCAGGCAGCAGGGCCAAGCTTGAGCCCCTCACTCACATGGAGGCCCCATTGTTCCCTCCGATATAGAAGTAGGGCCCCTGCCCGCTGCTGTGCGGCTGCTTCTCCCCCTCCAGCAGGTGCTTTTCCAGGAGAGCCGCCCGAGGCCTGACGCCGTCAGTGTCGTCTGAGAGGTCTGTGGGCCGATGGGGGGTCAGAGGCTCTGGCCTGGCCGGGGCCTTTCCTGTCCCTTGGCCCTGCCCCAAGCGCACCTGCGTCTTGTTCCAGCTGGCTTAGCACGTGCAGAAGCTGCTCCTCTTGTTTGCTCCCCATTGGTCTCTCATGGGCCCAACCTGTGAACAGGGTGGGGTCTGAGGGGTCCGGGGGAGGTGTCCATCCTGAATCTGGCCATCCTGCCCATTTCTAGCAGGCCCTGGGCTGTTCCCTCAGCCACCTGGGCCCATCGCAGCCCAGGCTGGGTCCTGACCGGTGGGCCTGAACCTATCTTGGGCAAGAGGGGAGTCATCACCATTTAGGGCCAGACCTGGAGCGGGCAGGGTCCCTGCTTACCCAGAGGGCAGGGGCTCTGTGCAGAGGAGGGCTAGGGTGTGAAGCTGGAGCTGGGGGGAGACATGTGCAGGGATGTCCCCAGGAGAGATGGGGTCACAATGTCTATCGTGAGGTCATGGGTGACCTGTATCAGGCAGGGGAGACAGCACCAGGGCTGTCCTGCACAGGGGCTGGGTTCTGGGACAGGCAGGGGCAGTGCCCAGACTGTGGAGAGCAGCTGTGTCCCCTCTCTGTGCCTGTTCAGACCCCGGCTCTGCTGTCCTCTGCACTGTTCCACTGGCCCGAACCCCACACTCTGGGCACGGCCTTCTCCTGGCCTCTCTCCTAGGGACTGGCTATGTGTGGTTGGCCCATGGGAATGCCTTCCTCCGGGTGGGATGCCCTCCCCAGGGAGGCACTGGCCTGGGCTGGGAGTGGAGCCGGTCCCAGGGCTGCATTCACCTGGCATCCGGGTGTGGTTCCCCCGGAGCCCGGCAGTCCTGGACCACTTGCCTCTCTTGCCACTGATGTGGGTCCGGTTAGGTGGTCCCCGACGGTGGAGGACGTGGGTGGGGCTGCGGGCTGTGGATGCAGGAGCGCCAGGGCAGGGGCACCTCTGGGAAGACACCACCCCCAGCCCTCTGTGGGCCCTCTGGGCAGCCCATGGTCCTAGCCCCAGGGAGGGGCGCCTCCTGGGATCCTGGGCTTGGGCTTCTGCTTGTGGCTGGCTCCTGTCTCTGTGGTGACCGTGGGGCCTGGAGCCCCGTGGACGCAGGGCCATCTGTGCATCCTGTTTATCCCTGGCGAGGTTTTCCCTGCAGGGACCGTCTGTCTGGCATGGCCATGCTTGGCCTTGGTGGTGCCGGCTGTAAGGAGGGTCGCTGTCAGGTCTCTGGGGGACTGGAGGGGCCCCTGGCCCCAAGTGGGTGCCTCCTCGGAGTTGAGGGTGGCACTGTGACATGGGGCTCGGCAGGAAGGTCTCTGGCAACGTCCCCTCTGCTGCTCCGGGCCCTGCCCCAAGGATCGTGTCTCCTTTGGAGCATCCTTTCCCGTGTGGTCAACTTGGGAACACTTCAGGGAATTTTAGCCATTCTTGGATGGGTCGCTCCCAATCTGGGAGCCGCTTGGGAGGTGAGGACTTTCTAGAGGGCTGGGAGAAGATAAGTGGCCAGCACACTGTGGAGTCGGCAGGACAGAGAAAGACAAACCAGGTGTTGGCAGATCACTTTCCAGAGAGGACAGTTACTTTGCAGACAAACCAGCTGGTCACCCAAGAAACACTTTAGTCCCCCCTTAGGCCAGAGGAGGAATAAACTGGGTAGCGGTCAGCATGAGTATGGGAGCTGGGCCGGTGGCCGGGGCAGGGCTGAGGGTGGGCAGAGTGTGGACCACCCAGGGGCCCTCACCCACACCCTGGCCCACCCAGAATGGGAGGGTTCCTGTCCGGGCGCAGCTGGGGGATAGCAGCCTGCAGGAGACAGGGAGAAGGCCTACCTGTGCACGCGTGGGCTGGAAGACCTCGGTCCCCTCCCACTAGGTTCCCAGAACCCAGCAGCAAGTCCCAGGAGTCCTGCTGGGGTATGGACCGCCCCCAAGGTCCAGACCCTCAGAACCATTCCTCCGGACTCTTGAGTGGCCCCAAGGTCACCGACCCCCCCACCAGGTGTGCGTGAGATACCCCCCTACAGATGCACACAGACTCAGACGCCGTCACACGCATGTGCACAAGAAGTGGAAGAGGGGGAGAGAGGAAGCCAGGCCCTAGAAGGTGCTGGCTTGAGAGTAGGAGACTGGTCGCTCCTGAGAGCAGGTGGGCTGCGGTCAGAGCAAGGGGACACGGAGTACGACGGGGCTACAGGGCCAGCGGGAGTTCAGAGAGATGGTGCAGGAAGGACGCAAAGATGGGAGCAGGAAGGACCTGGACTTCAGCGGCAGCTGCTGGGGACCCTGGCGCGGGGCTGGCCCGAGCCCTGAGAGCAGAGGGGCCGGTCAGGGTGCAGCCCAGCTAGTCCCTCTGTGACTCAGTTTCTTTGCCTGTAACTCGAGCAGGAGCAGCATAAAGAGAATTAAATAAGAGAATTAAATAAGGCGTGAGTTCCTGCTTCTTGTCATTCAAGTAACAAAGATTAAGGGGGAAAAAAGAGGGCGCTGGGTGTGCCTGCGGGTGGTCACTGGCTGGCTGGCAGGAGGGGCGTGTGGCGGGGTCAGGCCCCAGGGCCCTGGCCACCTTCTGATCTGGTGCCCGCGCGTTTTGCAGCTCCTCTGAGGGACGGAATTCTAACACAGAAACACAGCTTTCTGCTCACAGATGTTCACGGCACGCGCTCATCGCGGGGGTCACGGGATGGGCGCCCCTGACCATGAGGGACTGCCCCCAGACCTTCCAGAAGGGCTGTGGAAACGGGGACAGCATGGCCAGGGCAGGGGACAGCTCGAGTTTACAGTAAATTTTGAAATAAACATTTTACCTGGTCAGGTAAAAAGACCGGCAGGAAATGGCACCCCAGGCTGGTGAGAGGAAGACCCAGGTGAACCTGAAGAAAATGTCCAAGAGAAAGAGGAGATGTTGGTGTCCCGCCGTGCATCTTTCCCAGAACACACGCTTGTCGTCTTGGGGTGCTGAGGAGATGCTGACATTGCTCGATGGGCTGGGGCCCCCGGCGGGGCTGGGGCTGTCTGGGAGGATACCCTCTGTGGGATGGGTCCAGGAGACAGACCTTGTCCCGGGCAAAGGGGCTTGTCCAGAGGAGCCGCCACCCCTAGGAGGCATGTCCCTCTTGGCCGGGCCTGGGGGTCTATGACCCTCATGCTGTGGCACTGGGGATGTGGGCCCTCCACAGAGGGGGCTCATCTCAGCCACGATGCCCCTTTCCTGACCCTCCTTCGTCTCCCTTCTGCTCCTGGCAGGGTTCTGACAGAACGCACAAGGTCCCTGGTGTCCAGGTTGGGGGGTAGGCACAGGATGGCGGCCACAGCCCTCACATCCAGCGAGGACTCACGCTGGTGGCCTGCCTGTCCCTCTTACCTGCCCAGCAAGGTGGTGTGAGCCCTCTGCCAGGGAAACAACAGTGGTGGCCTGGCAACCGTCTCTGGGCAACAGCAGCCCAGCGGCACGGCTGGGAGATCAGGAGGGGCAGGAGGCCAGGATCCTTGGGGAGCTGGGAGGAGGGGCTGGGGCTGGTGCTGGAGCAGGGGGACCCATGCACGGTTCCCATCTGGGCCTTGCATCCTCTGAGTATCCCTGAGTCTTCTGAAGACCCCCAACCCATGCCAGGACCCCCAGGACCTGACCCTATCTCAGATTTCACGTCTCCTAAGCGTTACCTGCTCTAGTTCAACTCCCTGTACCACAGCCTCTCCCGTGGCGTCGCCTTCCAGTCCCGCGGCCTTGCTGCCATCCAGAGTTTTGTGTGGGTCTCTCATTGGGGTGCCTTAATTTGCTTCTTGTTGGGCTGGACGGTGGCCCCCAAATGAACCCATGTCTGAAGCCCCAGAAGCTGCAGGTGCGACCTTACTTGGAAAAAGGGGATTTGCAGATGTGATTAAGGATCTTGAGATGAGATCCTCCTGGATTATCTGGGGGGGGGCCCTAAATCCAGTGACCAGCGTCCTCCCAAGAGGGAGCAGAGAGAGGAGACCCGGGAGAAGCCCCATGAAGACAGGGCCAAGTGGTGTGGTCACCAGCCCAGGGACGCCTAGAGCCACTGGGGGCTGGAAGTTCCCTCCCCTAGAGACTCAGGAGGGAGTGCCTCCCCAGCCCCCACCTTGACTTCTGCCTTCTGGCCTCCTGGACTGTGAGAGAGTACATTTCTGTCGTTTCAAGCCCCCGCCTGTGATCACCGTTACGGGGGCCCTGGGGGACTGACGTAGCCCGTAAGTCACTCCTTCCTTCTGAGTGCCCTGTGGCTGACTTCACTATGGGGAGGCCTTCCTGACCCCACACAGGGGCTGACCTACTCCCAGGCTCCTCGCCTGCCTGTGCCGGTGTTGGGAGCTTCAGGGGTCAGTCTTGCTGGACTGTGGTCTCTGACTCTCTGCCCTGAGGTGGCCATGGGTCAGCCTGGAGGGCAGAGAGCTCCTCTAGCCAAGCCTTGGACTGAGCAACTGGGGCTGGTGACCGCCCGCCTGCCCCCGCACCTCCCCGGCCTGGGCCTGCTGGGGCAGCAGCCAGTGTGGGGGTGGGGCCCCTGATCTTCTCCTTGGCCTGAGCACAGGGCCCCCAATCCTGTCTTCCCTCAGGAACGCGTGCTCCCCTCCCTATATCCCTTCTGGGGGCCCAGAATCCTGGCAGGCGCCCAGGCTCCACTCTGGGTCCCTGTGCGTTCTGGGGAGGCGGCCCCGGCCTGGGCTGACACAAGAGCTCAAACTCCAAAACCCTGCATCGTAACCCGTCCGACTGGATGGTGTGGTGCCGCCCCAGCCTTTCCCACGGTGGAAACGGCCTGCGGCTGGGCGCGTCCCTGCGCATTGGCAGCCTGGGTGAGCAGGGGAGTCATTAACCTCCCGGGGGGCAGGTGGGCTGTGGAGGGCCTCCGAGCGGGGGTGTGCTGGGGCTGGGGCAGTGGGGGAAAGGCCCAGTACCCCCCCTGCGGCTTGGGGCCTTTGCTGAGACCGGGCTGTGCTGCCTAGACACGGGGCCAGGATGTCCTGCTGTCCTGACGGCACGTAGCCCCTGGCCTCTGCCGCCTCTGCTTGGCTCTGGCGGGTGTCCCATGGTCCCCACTTGGTTGTCTCCTCCCAGAGGCCTTCCTGGGCCACCCTTACCCCCTCCTCCCCCACCAACCCCCACATTCTCGACTGCTCTGGCCTTCTCCACACGGCAGCTCTCCTGGTTCACGTGCTCTGCTCCCCTTATCACTACCTGCACTCCTGCCAGGGACGGTCCTCTCCCCGGTGTCTGGCATGGGGTGAGTTTGCAGGAGGGGCTCAGGAGAGACTTGGTAATGGAAGGAGGGAAGGTGGGGAGGAGCCCGCCAGAACTCCAGAGGTCCCCTTCTCCCTGACAGAGGCCACAGAGCACCTGGGCGGAGGCAGAACCTAGGACCCACTTGGAATTCACAGGGAAGGAAGTGGGTTCTAGGGAGTAGTCAGGAGGCTGAAGGTGGGATCAGCATCCAGAAGTCTGGTTTGGGGACAGCTTGAGATAGAGGACATCTGCATGAGGTAGAGGAGAGGGGAGCAAGGAGGGAGCTGCAGAGTGGGGGCCTGAGGGCAGCCCAAGATTAAGGGCTCTCTGACTCTTAGTCCCCGTGGCGATGGTCTGGCACCTGGAGGGCCCTCCCTGACTGAGTGCCTAAGCCCTGGAGATGGGCCTGTGGGGAAGTGGGGGCCTGAGGCCCATAGAGAGGAAGCAAAGGCGGCCTGCACCCCCCCCACCCCCTCCCCTGAGCTTTTTGCTCTAGGCTGAGGGCGGGGTCTCACCTATGATGGGGCCTGGTGCTGCCTGGGTCGGGGAGAGAGTGGCCCAGGGAGGTTTCTGGGTGCTCTGCTGGCCATGCCCTGAGTTGGAGGTTTGGGGGTACGGGCGTGTAGGGGTAAAGGATGAGGTCGCTTCCCTGGAGAGGGTTCTAGGTGGGGCTGGGGGGTTTCCGCAGTCCCTGGGCTTTCTTTTGGCTCCGTGGCAGGGCCAACAGCATGGTGTCCGCCTCAGATGCTTGCTGACCCTCCGTGCCTGCCAGCCCTCCCAGCCATGCCCCTGCGAGGAACAGAAGCCAGCCCCCGAGGCACCTCTCACCCTTTATTGTGCAGATCATCCATTAGGGCTGAGATAGGTCATGGGGGCTGGGGAGGTCCTGGCGTGGACACAACTAACGGGCCCAGGACCCATGGGCCTCGCCCTCCCCCCGGTGTCCCTCCAGGGACTCCTCGTCTGGCGGTGGTCAGGCCATGGATGGACGGCATTACCAGACAGTATTAGACAACAGAACCCAGATCTAACCGTGTCTGGTAAGACGCCCATCGGCAGGCGACGGTGCAGACGGCCCCAAGTGGGGGGCACTCCTAGGGCAGGGGGCACTGCCCGTCCTGCAGCTCGCTGAGACAGCGGGAAGATCCCTGCAAGGCCTTCGACCCTCCTGAGTCTGCAGGGTGGCCCCTGTCACCTGGTGTTGGCCCCGGGCAGCTCTGAGGAGGGCTCTGCTGCAGACCCTAACCCGGCACACAGCCTCCAGGCGCCTGTGCTGTGGTTGTAGCTGGAGAGTGGGCCGTCCAGTTTCTCTGCACTTGACCCTGACTGTGTTCACCCGGGCACCCTTGCCGGTCTCCTGAACGGCTCTTGGCTGGTTAATGAGTAACAGGGAGGCCAGGGACAGACGCCCCCCCCACCCCCGCCCAAGAGGCCAGCTGGGACCCAGGGCAGGGTGGGGTTCCAGGGGGCCCAGAAGGGCCACCCCTGTGCAGGTCAGCTGGGCAGGTCTGGGACCGGCATCCTGGCTTCAGATCAAAAAGATAAAACAAAGGGCCATCCTGGCCTCACCGATTTTGGACAATGTTCCCATTCTTAACTGCGACACTGTGGTGGCTGGAGCGGGGAGAGGGAGACTCTGTCCTCACTGGGACACAGCACAGAATGTCTACTGCACTCGCCTGTGGGTTTGGGCCGGGGCACCCAGACACACCCTGTCCTTCCTGCGTCCCTGGTTGACCAGTGGAGTGAGTTCTCCTTTGTAGAGTAAGAGTCCTGGTGTGAGAAAAGGGGCCACTGCCCATGGCTGGCCCCACCGGACTGGGGTGTCTAAGGGCAAGGCCAGTTCCCAAAGGACCGGCCAGGGTGCCCTAGGACAGCCACGGTGGACGTCTGAGGTTGGGTGGTGGACAGGAGGGGCTGAAAAGGGACAGTGGGGCTGCCTGCTGCCTGCTCCACACCAGCCAGGAAATGCATCTCCCCACGCGGGTGCTGAGCAGGGCCCGACATCCGTTGCTGCCCTCAGAGTCTGGCCACAGCAGACACTTTGGAGCCAAGCAGGTGGGGCTGGAGTGTGCACTGGGTGGTGTGGGCCAGGCCCCCAGGATGGTGTCGATGGCCAGGACAGGACTGGTGGCCCTCTTCTGCCTAGTGTCCTAATCCTGATGGTCTCTCCTGGGGATCAGAGCACCCTGAGAACTTCACTCGGGAGGGAGCCAGGGGCCCCCAGCCTGGGCTTGGTGGGACAGCAGAGGGGCGCCCCCCTGCTGGTGGGGGCCGCCCTGATGGGTTGGGCTGTAGAGCCGAGACAGGCTGTCTGCCAGTCCCTAAGCGCGCCCTGGGCCCTGGCCCGTCTTTGGAGTCCAGGAGTTCAGGACCGTGTGTCCTCGGGCACTTCCTGGCAGGCAGGCGGTGGGTCACCTTTGAACATCGTTACCAGACAGTGTTAGAGTCAAGCCAAGAAATCCAGCACTGTCCGGTAAGATGCCCACAGAGGCCCAGGTGCAGCTCAGCCCGAGGACAGGGACAGATACCTGGTGCCCACCCCGGGCAGGCAGGGTCCGGTGGAAGTGAGTTAGGATCCCTGGGAGGGGAGGCCTGAGTGCTCCTCCCTGCTCTCCCCAGAGCAAGGAGACCTGGGGTTGAAGACCCAGGACCGAGGCTGGAGATGCTGCCAGTCTGCAAGGTGGTCCGCCCGTCCCGGGGCCACCTGGAGGCCTAGGCTGGGCCTGACCACCCCCGGCTGGGCCTTTGCCCTCCGGAGCCCTTGTTGTCACCTGCTCAGCCCACAGCTGCCAAGTGTGGTGGCAGCACCCGCTTGGGTGCTGTGGGCAGGGCCCAGATACCTGAGTGTCCTAATCCAGGATCAGTCTGGGGAGGGGGGTGCTCAGTGCGGCTGCAAGATGGCTTCCATTCTGGGGGGCTGAGAAGGGGTACATCTGGGCCTGGGGGAGGGGTCACATTTCTGCCCTAGAGCCCCCCCTGGCAGGATGGGCTGCTGCTGCGGGTATCTGCACGGGGCCTGTGTGGGGAAGGGAGGGGCCGGGGGCCGGGTGGGGGGAGGGCGGCCCCATCGCTGCACCTGGGGCCCCGCCGTCATCATTACCAGGCAGTATTAGAGACCTGACACCATCCAATGCTGCCCAGTAAGATGGCGATGGCCGCCCCCAATGGGGTCTGGGGGCCGCCCAGCTGGGGACTCCATGGCGGTGATCAGCAACCTGATGGAGAACCCTGTCCTCTCAGGGCACAGGGGTGGGGAGGGGTCCGCGAGGGACAGAGCCTCAACTCTAGGGGCCCAGCCTGGAGAAGGCTGGACTGTGGCACCAGGATGACCCCCAAAGGCCAGGACCACAAGGAGGCCTCCTGCCCAGCCAGAGCTGGCCAGCTCTGTGGGGCCATCAGCTCGGGGCCTGGGGTGGATGCCCAAGGAGGGCCAGGATGCCCTGCCCACAGGAGGCAAGGACAGAGTGGGATCCTCCCTCTGGGTGGTCCCAGGGAGAGGCCTGGACATGTGGCCCTGCCCCCTCGGGGCCCGGCTGCTTGTGCATGTGAGTGTGTCCAAGACCAGAAGGGCTGCCTAGGCCGGACAATGGGCCTCTGTCTCCTGGACGCCGCCCCAACGGCTGTCTCCAGCCCAGCCCCCTCCTGCCCTTGTCAAGGGCGTGGAAGGGTGTTGGGACAAGGATGGAGTGGGACGTGGCTCTCCAGGCAGGACAGCACTAGGAGACCTCCTCAGCCCAGCCCCCCAACCCTCCCACCCCACCAAGCCCAGGCCCTCTACCTCGCTCACCAGCCAGGTCTCAGATAGGTCTGTCTGCCCGCCCCTTGGCTCTGTGGCCCTTGGGTGCTGGCCGCTGTTGGCCGTGAGGTCCGAGGGTGAGCCGGTGCTGGGCCTGGAGGGGGTGTGAGAGGGCAGCCCTGTCCCGCCTGTACCCCGTAGTCACTCCTGCCCCAGAGCAAAGAACACAGGAGGCCAACCAGCTCCTCCACCCCTGCCTGACTCCCCCACGCCTGTGGGGGCCAAGCAGGTCCTTGGACGTCAGAGTGGGGTCAAGGAAGTCGGCGGCTCTGTGCCCACACCTGGGGCCTGCATGGAGCCGAGTGACCCCGGCCCCTGTCCTTGGAAGATGGAGGGGTCCCACCCTCCCTCTCATCTCTTCTCTGCCACACATGACCCCTGGACCTGGGGAATGGGCCAGGGCAGCTCCTCAAGCCTTCCGGCACCTTCTACCCACAGAGGCTGTAGGGAGAGGGTGTGGGCCCCGTGCCGATTCCCCCCAGGCCACCTGGCTGACCGCAACAACGGCTGTGTCCATTTGTTTGGCCAAGTCTGCGTTCACCTGGTTCTGTAGCTTTGTCCTCGGGAATGGCCGGCATTTCTCAGAGGACCTGACCCTAACTTAGGCCCAGCGTAGGGGGGCAGGGGAGGTGCCTGTCCATCATCTGGGAAGGAGGCTTCACAGGAGCCTGGACCCCCCAGGTGACTGTGTCCAGGCTCAAAGGGCAGATCCCACAGTCATCACCACCTCCTGACCCTCCTGGCTCTGTAGCTCACCCTTTAAGGTCTGTCCCACAAGCCCTGTAGAATCAGAGTGCCTTAGGAACGCAGTCCCACCTCTCTCGGAGCTCAGTGAAGCTGTCTCACCTTTCTTTCTTAGCTGAGTTGAAGTTCAGCTCTGCTTATAGCTGCGGGGCCCTGGGGGAGGCAGCCGGGGCCTGGTGCCTGGTGTCTCTCCCTTGTAGCCAGCTTGCCGTGCATAGACTGGCCTCCCACTGTGTGGCCTCTGGAGCCCGAGCCTGGTGTCCCTAGTGTCCTTGGCCACTGAGGGCCAGCTCTACTTCAGAAGCTCTGAAGGCCCTGGAGGCCCGGCAGGCCTGAGCTGGCTGATGGGGAGCCGGGAGCCACCCCAGCTATGTGTAGCCCTCCTTGCCAGCCCTTCCCTTCTCCCCGAGGAGGTGAAGAGGTGCGGGGTCAGACACACGGACAGACGCGTGGACAGAGCCAGGGCCGACAGTGGGCAGCACAGTGCTCTCCCTCCTAAGTTCCAGGACAGAATCCCACCCTCTTCCTGAACTCAGAACAAGGCCTCGGCCCTGAGTGCCGCTCAGCGTGGGGTCAGGAGTCCGACACCAGGCGCCCAGGGCAGGGAGGAGGAATGGCAGGGTTTGGGGATTGATACGAAGAGTGAAAATATGGTGCTTTTCTCGGCCTGTTGTCGGCGGGGTGGGAGGCCAGCCTCATGGTGACGGCCAGATTGGGGTCTGGTTAATCATCACCTTCCCAAGCAGGCTCCTCTTGGGAAGAATGGAGGAACGGGTTGAGAGGCCCAGAACAGCACCTCCAGGCTCCTCTTGGCAGAGCAAACGCCCCAGCTGCCCTTGTGGGTCCCACCTGCGCAGGCACGGGCGGGGTGGGGAACGCGATCCCAGCGGGAACTTGCCGGCTAACCTGCCTGGCGGGCCTTAATCAATGTTGAGGCCGCAGAGAACAAAGCGTTGAAACCCAAGCCTTGCAGCACCGCGGGACCCACCAGCCCGGCCCAGAGGCTGCGGGCGGGGCGGCGGCGGAGGCCTGGCCTGTCCGCTCGCAGGGCACCTCCTGGGCCCCCGCGGAGGCCAGGCCGCCATTTCCCCCACGAGGCGGGCACAGCCTCTCGGCCCTTCCTCGGGGCATGCCCGCCCCTGAGAACCAGCCGGACTCCTCGGGAGGTGGGGGATCTCGGCTCTTGGGTTCACCAGGGACATCGTCACGCGCTGGTTTTGCAGAGAGGGTATTTGCAAGATGACCAAAATGTCGGAACGTGGGCCGTGGCCGTGTCCCTGCTGTGCAGCCGTGCGCACTTTCGTAAGCGGGGCGCCCCGCGCTCATTTTGGCCAATTTGATGTGCCGCCAGTCACTGACCTGCAAGCATTTCATCCGGGCGACTAGAAAAAAGCCAAACCAAACCAAACCAACCTATTTTTTCAGATGTTCTGCCTAAAAAGGCCTGCGATGCTCCCACTGGATTCGTTAAAACATAGGATCCCTGTGCCCTGGAGGTCGCGGTCACCCGAGCAGTGACTGTTTTTTGCCGCAGAGCGAGTTTGCTTCAATTCACACCAACGTCGTCCCCGCCCAGACGTAGGGCTGCCTGAAGCGCGGGGATTTGGGGAGAAAGCCGCCCGTGGGCGGCCGCGCGGCAAGTTCACGGCCGGCGGCGCACGGCCCGCCTGTGCGGGCCACACTGGCCAGGATGCAGAGTCCGCGTGCCGTGATCACCCCTTCTGAGCGCCTGCGACCTGACCCCGAGCCGCGGGGCCGGCGAGGGCCGGCCTACACCTCCCGCAAGGAGGTTCCGGCTTTGTTGGCGTCTTGGACACAGGCGGGTGAGGGAGAGCCTGAATCCAGGCCAGCCGGGCTCCGGGCCACGCTCCCACCGTCCCCGCTGCCGCCTCTCGCGGGACCAAGCCCTTGCCTTCCAGAGCAAACTCCGGAAACCCAGCACCCGGGCCGCGGGCGCTTCCCCACACCAGCTCTGAGGGAGCAGGGTACCCCAGGAGCCGCCATGTCAGGGGCCAATGGGGAGATTTCCAGAAGTGGCTGCTGCCAGGCAGGGGTATGCGGGGACCCTCCCAGCTACTGACCCCGAGCTGGCCCCCCAGGGTGGCCTGGAAGACGCCCGCGGCCTGGCAGCTCCTGCCTGCCGACCCTCAGCGGCCCCGGCCGGCCCCGGCACCCAGCACCCTTGGCCTGCGGGACCCCGTCCTCTGGGGGCGAGGACCCCCAGCCCGCGTCGGAGCCCCCATGCCGCTGTTGCTCTGTCCTCTCTGGGCAGCTCCTCCAGGGACTCTCCCCGCACAGCGGCCTGCTCAGCCCCTCCACCTCCCGCGCGTACCTGCCCAGACAGGTTCCTCGCCTGCAGGAGGAGGGTGGGAGGCCACTCCGACCCCAGCCCGGAGGCCGAACCGTGCAGCTCTGACCCCGCACCCAGGACCCCCCAGGCCTCAGAACAGACGTCAGAGAAGCTTTGGCACCAGTCGCCCCAAATACCTGTCAGCCCGCGGTGAGCAGCCCGGTGCCCGGGTTTCGCTTCCGCCCCACCTGCCCCCAACCAAGATCCGAACTTGGAGCCGCGTGGAGGCCAGCGAGGGCTGCTGCCTCCTGGAAGACACCACTTCCTGCCCCCTCAGCTGAGTCTCCTCACAAAGGAAGGCCTGAAGCTCACACGCGAGCCAGTGGGCAGCGGGCCTGGTCCTTCAGGGAAGTGTGGAGATCGCCGGGGAACAATGGAGGCCCAGCGGGTCCTTGTGCAGCAGTGAGGGGCAGGGCAGGGAAGAGACGGTGGCCCCGGGCTCGCCTTACATGTAGGGCCTCACCCCGCCCCATGCAGGTGCCTGCTCACGGCCGACCAATCTCTGCTCCTGGCCTCCAACAGGTGTGTCCCCCGGGCTCCCATAGGCCAGGAGGGAGGCAGCGACGTGACGCAGGGCGGCGGCAGGCCCCGCACACATTCCTGCCCCCACCTCGCCCAGCTCGCCCGCCGCGCCCGCCGGCTGCTGGCGGGGCCCAGCCCGAACAAAAACCGGGGAGGAAAGCTTCTGCAGAGGCTGCTGTGGACCGCGCAAGCCCCAGCTGGAACAGTCAGGCCGGCACCACCTTGCCAATGAGGAGGGGGCCAGGTCACACCCTGCGCCCTCCGCTCTGCCCCAGGCCAGGCCCCAGCAGTGCCCCCTGCCCCCCGGGGCTGAGATTCCCATTGGCAGAGGGCCGAGCCTGGACCTGCTCTCAGCTCCAGCCCCCCAGCCCGCAGCTGTGGCAGCCGTGGAGTGTCTCCTCTGCCCCAATCTGTCAGACTCCCTCCCTTGTGGGCCCCCAGTCACACCCCTAGGGCAGGAGGCCTCCAACAGGGCAGGAGTGTCACAGGGACCCACACGCGGTGGGGACGGGAAGGGGGGCACAGGCTGCCTGGAAGAAGGGCCCTCCGGCAGGGTAGGGGGCTGGTCTGGAGGCCGAGGCCATGGCAACCCCTGGAATACCCCCATTTTGGAACTGCTGGGCTAAGGGACAGAAGACGGCACACTGGGGTTTGGAAGGGTCTGGGAGCCATGGCCGCAGGGTGGGGAGGAACAGAGCCCCAGGCAAGACTGGGGAAGTGACTCGGGGACACTCCTGGTGGAAGGTCCCCTAATGAAACACAGCTACGCTGGTAATTAGTGCCACCAGCAGAGATCCCAAAGGGCCCAACTGTTTTCCACTGTAAACTCTCAGTGACAAGGGCCTGTCCCCCTGGGCTGCTGGCTCTGGCTGGCTCCACCCCAGGACCCCAGCTGTGTGGAGCTGCATCTTTCCATCCAGAGCCTGGTCTTCAGGCCCAAGCTTGTCCTCTAGGGGTAGACATGGCCAGAAGAGGCAGTGGCTGCCATGGAGGGCCCCCTGAGGGCTGCACCACTCCAGAGGGCACTGTCCCTCTGATGCCACTCTGTTGCCTCCTGTCCCCACTGCACAGGGGGTCCCAGAGGAGGGCACAGTACCCCCTACCCTCTGCCCAGGAGTCCCTGTGGGCCTGATCACTGGGGTCCTGGTGGAGGACCCTGAAACCCTTTGGGTGGGGCTCTGAGTCCACTCCCCAGCCCAGCTCAGCCTGGCCTCCTGCCCCAAAGGGCTGTGCTGGGGCTGGGGCTCCTCCCTCCCCTCCAGAAGGGGCAGCCGGGAGTTGGTCTGGTTCCCCTGGCCCCCAGCAGAGCATCTGGAAACCAGTCCTTGGGGTGTCAGTGACCTCTGACCCTCCAAACTTCCAGCCTCCAGCCCCTGGGGCACGCTGACGAGGGTGACCCACCAGGCACGCCCCTCCTCAGGGCTGTCAGGACACCCACCCACTCCTGATGCTCGCTCAAGGTGTCCGTGTTGGTGTGGGGGTGGGGTCGGGACGCACTTGGTCAGTGGTACCCGTGTTTTGGGGAGACTGAGGCCTTGCTCACTCACAAAGCCAGAGGTGTTGGCCTTCGGATGGGGGCAGGAGGAAGGGCTGCTCGCTGCTGACCTGCGTCTCAGGCTCACTCCCTGTCCTCTGCTCACGGGCATGGTGTTGCCAGACTCCAGGAGCATGAGGGGTGTCTGGAGGGGGCCCTGGCCAGTGTTCCCTGAGCCCCAAGCGCCGGGATGTAGGGACAACTAGGTGGGTCCCCACTGAGTTTTGGTGTCTGGGACTGCCAGGGAAGGAGCCTGGGCCAAGGTCGGGGACAGGGACAGCCACCTGCTGGGAAGAGGGCGCCCAGAGTGAGGCAGAAGTGAGCCTCCACCGAGTGGCAGGCCCAGGTGGTGGCTGCCTTTTGCCTCTCCAGCTCCTGCGGCGGAGTCTGGCCAGGTCTGACTGCTCCCACCCTCCCGTCGGCTGGGCCAGGGTCTCCCTGCCCCCTTCCCACCCGTTCTAATGCTCACACACACTCAGAAACACCAGGATCCCAGCGAGATCTGACTCAAACCACCACACAGGTTTCTGCAGGAGGCTGGACAAAGAGCCAGACGGTGCTGTGACAGGCCCTCGACCTCGTGTGCGCTCCTCTCCCACTCCGGGCAAGGGCGATGCGGACTCACTGCCCTGCTGACAGGCGACCCCCGCCGGCCGAAGCGGGGCTGCTGAGGGATGCTCCGTCCAGAGCCCAAAGGCCAGGGAGCAGCTGAGCTTTGCCGAGTGGAGGCTCCTCCCTCCCCTGAGCTGCAGAGGGGCCGAGGTGCAGGCGCCGGGCCTCCGTAGGTTCTGCTGCCGGACCAGGGGGCCCCTGACTGACACAGTCTGTCGACTGTCTCCAAGGGCTCATCACTGCGAAGAGGGAGGTGGTTCTGGTTGGGCTGAGCACCTGCTCGTGGACCCTGCCCTGCCCACTCACTCCCCTCCTTGTGCCGTTCTGCTTGAGTCCCGAAGAGAGTAAAAATGACCCAAAGTCAGACGCTGGGACCCAAACTGTCTGCCCTCTTGTGCTGGCAAAGGGGGGCCCACAAGCCGCGTTCCCACTCTCTGTGTCCCTTGGCTTCAGACAAATGGTCAGTTGGGACGTCCCCTTTGCTCTTATGGTTGTCACTCATTCTTGGTGCCGCAGGATCCCAGCTCCTGCCCTGTGCAGGGGCGCCTGGAGGGGTCTCTCGGGGGGGGGGGGCAGCACACCTCCGTCTCTCAAGGGTATATGTGAGCAGGCGGGGCTGGGTCCGGAGCTTCTGGCCTCCTACAGGGGGAGAACCATGGGGGCCATGCCAGCTGGTGTGAACCAGGTGTCCGAGCCCTGAATGATCAGCCTGGGGCCACCCCACACAGCACATCAGGCCCATGTCGTCCTGGCCCCGGGGGAGGCAGCTGCACTGGGTGCTAGGATCATTGGAGACCCCATTGGCCGCCAGACAAAAGTTCCAGCCCGGCCCACCTGCTGGGTGTAGATGTTGCCATGGCAGCGTGAATGGGGTGGGATAGGAGGGCCAGGCTTCCCAGGGACAGGGTCCTGGGAGGGTGATGGAGGCCACCCCCATGCTTGGGGACACAGGCTGGTGGCAGAGCTGACCTGAGGGGGCCCCGTCTCCAGCCTTCCAGACCTGGCTGCTGCCCGCGCCTGCCTGGGTGGGGCAGACAGGACAAAGGGCCACTGGGCTGTGGCTCCTGGCGACTTCCTGCCTGGCAGCCAGCCACAGAGGGCCTCAGGCTCTCCGCACCCTTATGGCCCAGCTTTGGCCTGGAAACTAGGCTGACGGGGAGGTCCTGCCTCAGTGCTGGGGGACTGCCATCCCACAAGGACTGTGCTGGGGCAGGGGGAGGGCCCTGGAGTCTCCAGAGCCTTGGACTCAGGGGACAGGGGGGCTCTCCGAGCATTTAGCAAGCTCTGGGCTCCAAGATGCCTGCGTGGGGCCCTCCATTTCTGGTTGGGAACAGGCCGTTGTCCTCTGCACAGGCT